AGGTGCTTTGTAGTGACCTCAGAAATTCAACTGACTCTAAGAGAGTTTTGGAGAGAGCACTTTAATATCCTCAATTGTGTAAACCTTATAGGTAAGGCTTGGGAGGGAGTGACTAAGAGGACCTTGAACTCTGCTTGGAAGAAACTGCAGCCAGAATGTGTAGACCAAAGGGATTCTGAAGGATTTGAGGCTAACCCTGAGAATCCTATGCCAGTTGATGAATCAATTGTGGCATTGGGGAAGTCCTTGGGGTTGGAGGTTAGTGGGGAGGATGTGGAAGAGTTGGTGGAGGAGGACAATGAAGAACTAACTACTTATGAGCTGCTAGATCATTTTCAACAGCAAGAGGCCACACCTGAGGAAATTGCTTCAGAGGAGGGGAGAGAGAAATTGAAGAAGTTGCCTACTTCAAAGATTAAGGAAATCTGTGCAAAGTGGCTTGAAGTGCAAACCTTCATGGATGAAAATCACCCTCAGACAGCTATTGCAAGCCGTGCTGGTGACTATTACACTGACACTGTTGTGAAACACTTTAGGAAAGTCATAAAGGAACGAGAGGTACAGGCCACTATGGACAGATATGTTGTACGACAGAAGTCCAGTGACTCTGAAGCTGGTCCAAGTGGCATTAAAAGAAGAGGGGAAGCAACCCCGGGAAAGGACTTGACACCTCAAGTCCTAATGGAAAAGGATTCCCCTTCTAAACACTAAAACCATCCAGTCTCCCCTCCTCCCATCCCATCAATCATCACCACATCTTCAATAAAGGTAAGTGTCATGTAACTGCATGTTTTCGTAAGTTTGTGTGTATTAAAATTAATATTTCATGTGGTAAAAATTTTTTTTTTCATACTTTTGGGTGTCTTGCACGGACTAATTTGATTTCCATTATTTCTTATGGGGAAAATTAATTCGCATAACGATAATTTCACATAACATTGAGCTCTCAGGAATGGATTAATTGCGTTATGCGGGGCTCCACTGTATTTCTATTCCTATGGAAAATCCATGCACTAAGAACTACCTGTAGAATTGAACCATTATTGAGAGGAGATTTGTATACTGACGATGAACAGGAAATGAGTGAAATCCTAAAAGAACAGTATGAGTCGGTGCTCAGCAACCCACTACGTGACAGCAAGGTAGAAAATGCAGAAATATTTTTCACTCCAGCAGAACACCGCACAGACCAGCTAACTGACATTAGTACAAATCCCCTAGATTTCGAAAAAGAAATGGATAACATGCCCAGTCACTCAGCACTTGGACCAGATTCATGGAATGCCCTATTTATAAAGATGTGCAAAGCACCATTAGCATGAGCCCTCAGTATTCTTTGCAGAAAGAGCTTAGAGTTAGGTGAAATACCAGAGGCCTTAAAGAGTGCAGACATAGCTCCTTTGCATAAGAGAGGTAGTAGAACACAAGCTGAAAATGCAGACCAGTAGCCATAACTTCTCACATCATAAAAGTCTTTGAAAGAGTGATGATATGGCAGATTACAATTTTCATGAACCAGCATAACCCAACCAGCATGGTTTTAGAGCAGGACGATTGTGCCTGTCACAGCTGCTGAACCATTATGAGAATTATGGAGGCGGTGGAGGACGACCAAAATGCAGATGTGATCTACACAGATTTTGCAAGGCGTTTGACAAATGCGATCATGGAGTGTTAGCACACAAAATGAGGGCCATTGGCATTACAGGGAAGGTAGGCAGGTGGATTTTAGAGTTCCTAACACACAGAACACAAAAAGTAGTAGTAAACAGAGCAAGATCCAGAATTAACTAGGTAAAATGCTCAGTGCCCCAAGGCACTGTCCTGGCACTTCTGCTGTTTCTCATCTTCATAGCATAGATTAAAAACACCTGTCACACTTTTGTATCATCATTTGCAGATGACACTAAAATAAGCATGAAAGTCACTATGGTAGAGGACACTGAAAAATTACAGGATGACATAAATCGGGTTTTCCAGTGTGCAGTGGAAAACATGACGTTCAGTGGCTTAAGTATAGAAAGAATGAACTCAAAAGGAACACTATATACAAAACTCAAGAGGGTCAATAAATAGAACAAAAGGAACACACAAAAGACCTGGGAATAATTATGTCAGCTGACCTTTCTTTTCAAGACCATAACAAGACAAAGATCACAACAGCCAGGAAGATGACGGGGTGGGTATTGAGAACTTTCAAAACAAGGGAAATAATGCTGATGGTGACATTCTTCAAATTTCTAGTGCTCCCTCATTTAGAATGTTGCTCAGTGCTGATGGCCCCGTTCAGGGCAGGAGAAATATCAGAACTGGAACAAATAGAGAATGTTTATGGCTCACATTGAGCCAGTAAAGCACCTAAATTACTCGGAATGCCTTCAAGTCTTGAACATGTACTCACTGGAGCAGAGGAGAGAGAGATACATAATGATATATACCTGGAAAGTACTTGAGGGCTTGATCCCAAATCTGCACACTGCCATAACAACATACTGGAGTGAGAGATATGGGAGGAACTACAAAATAAACCCAGTGAGGAGCAAGGTGCTGTGGGGACACTAAGGGAACACTGTACAGTGAACCCTCAATTAACGCCTTTACTCCGTTCCAGAGAGCTAGCCTTTAACCGAATTAATTTTCCCCATGAGAAATAATGGAAATCCAATTAATCCGTTCCAGACACCCGAAAGTATTAAACAAAATAATTTTTTTACATGAAATATACATTTCCCTACACAGAAAACAATGATACATGAATAAAACTAATATCGCACTTACCTTTATTGTGGACTTGTTGATGAGTGATGAGACGGGAGGAAGGCAGAGGATGAAGGTGTTCTATTGTTTGGAAGGGGAATCCCCTTCCATAAAGACTTCAGGTAACAAGTCCTTTTCTGGCTTGGGTCCTGGGAATGCCTTTTCCTCCTGAGTAATGTAGGTCCTGTTTGGCATTTTCTTCCTAAACAGGCCTGTTTCGTAACAGTTGAACACTTGTTGGGGTTTTAATGTTTCAGCCTCTATGTACCCCTTAAAGTCCTGCACATATTTTTCAGCCGCTCTTTTGTCAGAACTGGCAGCCTCACCATGCCTTATCATACCATACCATACCACCGTCACAATCGCTATCACCCTCTACCACAACCTCCACCACCATCACAATCACCACCACCCTCTACCATTACCACAACAACCCTCTACCACCATCACAATCGCTACCACCCTCTACCACCACTACCACCCTCTACCACCCTCTACCACCACTACCACCCTCTACCACCCTCTACCACCCTCTACCACCACTACCACCCTCTACCACCACTACCACCACTACCACCACTACCACCCTCTACCACTACTTCCACCCTCTACCACCACTTCCACCCTCTACCACCACTACCACCCTCTACCACCACTACCACCCTCTACCACCCTCTACCACCCTCTACCACCCTCTACCACCACTACCACCCTCTACCACCACTACCACCCTCTACCACCACTACCACGCTCTACCACCATCACAGTCGCTGCCACCCTCTACCATCACAGTCGCTGCCACCCTCTACCACCATCACAGTTGCTACCACCCTCTACCACCATCACAACCACCACCTTCGTATTTTTCTACAAACTTTTTCTTAAATCATGTGCGTTTCTCACATTCTTTACCATAGGGCTGGCACTAGAAGCTTTCTTGGGGCCCATGGTGGCTTATTTAGAAGTTACAGGCACCAAAAACAATGGAATAATACAAAATATATCGCATGTGCGTGCGGAATCGTCCTCACTGGCTTTGTAAACAATGGCACACTGGCTGGTACACGGAGTGAGTGGCCGGGCCCTCTCAGGGCGCCGTGCAGACACGTTTGGGATGAAAGATCCTAACCAAGTTTTTAGGTGTTATCCGAGCCAATTTTTTTACGCCAAAGCGATGCGTTATCCGATTTTGGCATTAGCCGATGCAGGGTCCACTGTATCAACATCCGGGATCCCAGACTATTCAACATCTTTTCAGAAGATAACAGAAACATGGCTGGAACAAGTGTAGAAACCTTCAAGAGGAAACTGGACAGGTATCTTCACCTGGTCCCAGATCAACCAGGCTGTGATGGATATGTGGGGCAGCAGGCCTCCAGCAGCAACAGCCAGGTTGACCAGGCAAGCACCGGATGAGCCTGGCCCTTGGCCGGGCTCCAAGAGTAGTGAAACTCTCGAAACTCATCAAAGGTAAGGTATTGACCAATTTTACCTATTCGGCATGATAGATACATGCCCACGTATATATATATATATATATATATATATATATATACATGCACACGTGTATGCATGTACACATCAAGAAATTAGAGAAAATGCAGAGGTTTGCAATGCATCTAGTCTTAAGCTAGGAGGTATTTCCTATGAAGAGAGATATTAAGGGAACTCAGCCTGATGTCACAGGACAGGACAGGACTAGGGGTGATAATGATAACATAATACTACTGAGAGGAATTGATAAGTTGAATGAGGACATATTGTTTGAGAGATATTAAACTGGAACACAAGGTCACAGCTGAAAGCTGAAAATTCAGACAAGTCACAGGGACGTTAGGAAGTATTTCTTCAGCTTTACAGTAGTCAGGAAGTGGAACGATCTAGAGAGTGAAGTGGTAGAGGCAGGATCTATACATAGCTTTAAGAGGTTGAGCTGAGACTCAACCTTTGCAATCACATATAGGTGAGTACATGTGTACATACATGCATACATATATATCTGCCTACATGAAAGATGTTCCAGGGGTTAATGCCCCTGTGGCCCTTTTCCATGACCAGGCCTCCTTGTAGATTAGGGCCTGATCAACTAGGCTGTTACTGCTGGCTGCACATGGATGCATATACACATACATGCATACAGTACATACATTCATAAATAAATACATACATATGTACTCACATACATTCATATATTGTATGTTAATGTACAAGAGCTTAATATTGATGTCTTATTGTTTTTAAAGCTGGGACCTATTACAAAATCAGGAAGAGTGGTCCACAAACCTCGCTTAATGGATATATCAGATGAGGACAAGCGGCAAAAACTGTCAAGGGAACAGCTAAGACAAAGTGTTGCATTGATGAACACCAGCTTAGATGAGGTAAGATACATGTACCTTTATTTTGATAGCATAAATGTAGTGAATGTTTAGTATGATTGCAGAGCCTAAGTAGCATATTAACCCTTAAACGGTCCAAATGTATATATACGTTTTTTCAACATTTGAAAGTATGTAAAAAAATGTACATTATCTTTTTTTTTTTTTTTTACATTTGAAAATCTGTAAAAAAAACTTTTATCTATATTTTTTTGTTTTTTTGTTATACAGTGGACCCCCCGGTTAACGATATTTTTTCACTCCAGAAGTATGTTCAGGTGCCAGTACTGACCGAATTTGTTCCCATAAGAAATATTGTGAAGTAGATTAGTCCATTTCAGACCCCCAAACATACACGTACAAATGCACTTACATAAATACACTTACATAATTGGTCGCATTCGGAGGTAATCGTTATGCGGGGGTCCACTGTATTTGAAAATATGTAAAAAAAAAAACATAGATCTACTTTTGGAGCACTACGGATTTGAACGCCGATCTATTTGGACCGTTTAAGGGTTAATGAATGTTTCAGTGTGTTCGTCTGTGCTTGTCTTGGGTAGTGTGTTTGTTGTGTGTCTTGTGTTCAGTGACCCACATGAGTTTAGTGCTTTACATTAATGTATCTATGTACAGTGGTACCTTGACTTAGGAGTGCCCCAACTTACGAATTTTCCGAGTTAGGAGATGTTGCTTGGTTGATTTTTTGCTTTGAGTTGCGAGGCAAAATTCGAGTTATGAGAGAGCTTCAGATACATCCGCCAACGATACCACTATGTGAATAACATATTTTATTCATTCTAGACTATATATCAGGTTTCTGTGTTATTTATATTGTTATGTCATATTAGATGAATTGTGATGGATAAATAAGCCATATAGATGATACTAGGGAAATTATTGAATTAGTTTCTCGTGCTTGGAGTTCCACTGGAACGGATTAATTGCATTTCAATTAATTTAAATGAGGAAAATTGACTCTGGAAATGAGCAAATCCAGATGTGAGCAAGGTCATGGAACGAATTAAACTCGTGAGTGGAGGTTCCACTGTATTTTCTCCTGCCTCCCAAGAGCCAGAAATTCCACTGGAACGAATTAATGGCATTTCAGTTAATTTCAATGAGGAAAATTGATTTACAAGCAAATTGAGTTATGAGCTCGGTCATGGAACGAATTAAACTTGTAAGTTAAAGTACCACTGTATGTATCTTTGGTAGGATCGTATTATATCTGTTGTTAGTCTTAGGTTGGGGAGTGTGAATACTCTGTGGTTTTGGATTTTCTCTTGCTTCTGGCTACATTGTTTCTAAATGATGTCTTGCGAATCTTTCAATGCATTGACTTGAGAACATGTGCATAAGAAAACTGTTTCCTATTCCAATAATTTATATATATATATATATACACTTGGGATTAGGTTGTTCTTTCATCTGTACTACAGTATAACACGCTCTATAAACAGTAAACATTATTTTAATGAATTCCCAATTACAAATCATTCAAGAAATGATAAAAATGGATGAATAGAACTGGCTCAGAGAGTGATCACTCTGAGACAGGGCTGCATTAAAGAAAAAAATTGCATTTGTAATCTGATGTGAATAATGAGAAGTGCTTTTGCATACAGGAGTCCCAAATTATATTGTCAACAATTTAAGAAAATATTAAGTATTTGCTGTGTTAGGTTATAATTCTGAAAACCACTATTCATCTTAACTTTAAAATCATATTATATAGAAGACAGTTTCCAAAAATTTTGAAGTTCTAGTTTCCAAAAGCATAAGGTTAAAACTGCTTCCGCCTCCCCCAACCTTGAAAAAATGCAAATATAGTCACGTAGAATTTACCTTTCTATTAGCTGGGTTAGGTAAGGCTGTATGGCTAATACCATTCCTTGCTGAGGACTGGCTACTGAGTACTGTACCTGTAAGTGGAGAAAGTACATGTTAGAGTTTGGTGATTGGGCAGTGAGCACCAGTGAATTTTGAAGGTGAATAATCCAAAAATTTTTACACTTAATCAAAGCTACGGTATTTGTTGGAGGGGCATTGGTGAAAATGTATAATTAAGATTCACATTATTAAGCCTGTAAAATTGGAGTTTTGGCTGTATGTATATGTGAATACAATTTATTTGTGGAGAATGTTAAACCCATGTTGAGTATTTAAATTCACTCCTTCCAATTTGACTGTAAGTGTTATTTCTTTTTTTTGTCATAATATTGTCTTCCAATTTATAGCATCACTAGCATCCTGTTGGCTAATTATATATTTAGAATTGAGGTATAAGGCCCATCTTTAGGCACAGAAATTGACCTGTGCTTGAGTTGTTGTATATTCATCTATTATCAGTTCATTTCAGTAGTCCACTAGTAGTCCACAGTAGTCCACAGCTAGTGCGCTTTCTAGCACATTTTTTTCCTTGGCTTACGATTTCTGTATCTTCTACCCGTTAATTGGCTAAATTTATCCTATATATTTTTTTTTCAACACATAGACTGTCTCCCATCGAGACAGGGTGACCCAAAAAAAAAAAAAAAAAAAACACTTTCACCATCATTTACACATAATTACTGTCTTTACAGAGGCACTCAGATACAACAATTTAGATGTCACTCCAAACAGCCAATATCCCCAACCCCTCCTTTAAAGTGAAGGCATTGTACTTCAACCTCCAGGACTCGAGTCTGGCTAACTGGTTTCCATGAAGCCCTTCACAAAATATTACCTGTTCACGCTCCAATAGCTCGGCAGGTCCCAAAAACCATTAGTCTCCATTCACTCCACACATGTTGCATGTCCAAACCCCTTGTGTGTGTGTGTGTGTGTGTGTGTGTGTGTGTGTGTGTGTGTGTGTGTGTGTGTGTGCACGCGCGCGCACGCATACACACACTCACTCTCACTCTCTCTCTCACTCTCTCTCTCTCTCTCTCTCTCATCTCTCTCTCTCTCTCTCTCTCCCTCTCTCTCTCCTCTCTCTCTCACCTTCCTCTCTCATCCTCTCTCCTCTCTCTCCTCTCTCTCTCACTCTCTCTCTCTCACTCTCTCACTCTCTCTCCTCACTCTCTCTCTCTCTCTCTCACTTCACTCTCTCTCTCACTCTCTCTCTCACTCTCTCTCTCTCTCTCTCTCTCTCTCTCTCCCTCTCTCTCTCTCTCTCTCTCTCTCTCACTCTCTCACTCTCTCACTTCCTCTCTCACTTCTCTCCCACTCTCTCTCCACTCTCTCACTCTCTCTCTCATCTCTCACTCTCTCTCTCTCCATCTCTTCTCCTCTCCCTCTCTCTCTCCTCTCTCTCTCTCCCTCTCTCTTCCTCTCTCTCTCCTCTCTCTCTCTCTCTCCTCTCACTCTCTCACTCTCTCCTCTCACTCTCACTCTCTCACCTCTCTCTCTCACTCTCTCTCTCTCTCTCACTCCTCTCTCTCACTCTCTCTCTCACTTCCTTCTCTCTCTCACTCTCCTCTCTCACTCTCTCTCACTCTCTCTCTCCTCTTCTCTCTCTCTCCTCTCTCTCTCTCCCCTCTCTCCTCCTCTCTCTCTCCCTCTCTCACTCTCTCACTCCTCTCTACCTCTCCTTCATCTCTCACTCCTCTCTACTCTCTCACCTCTCCTCTCTCACTCTCACATCTCTACTCCTCACTCTCCACATCTCTCTCTCATCCTCACTCTCTCACCTCCACTCCTCAATCACTCTCTCACTCTCTCACCTCTATCCTCTCTCACCTCATCTCACTCTCTCTCTCTCTCTACTCTCTCCCATCTTCCTCAGCATGTCTCCTCACTCTCCTTCCACTACTTATACTCCTACAATATCCATTTCTCCACCATCTCTAAATGACCAAACCACTAGTAACCCTCTTCACCCTCTGATAATACTTTAGTAAACCTTCAATCCAACTATAGTTATCTTCTTTGTTTCACAATGCCGTTTCACCAAAGCATCCTAACAGAAACAAAGTTTCTCTTAAACTTTAGTAATGTATCAGAAAAGGGGTTACTAGCCCCTTGCTCCCAGCATGTTGATCGCCTCTTACAACACGCATGGCATGTTCTTGCATTAAGAATAAAAAAGCACCATACCATGACTGGAACAAGACACAAATAACCCACACATAGGAGAATGAAACTACGACAACGTTTTGACCTGACGTGAACTATTAAGTAGACTGTGCAAGTCAGACCAAAACTTCATAAGTTTGAGTCTTCTATGTGTGGGTTATTTGTTCATGTTCTTGTAGTATGATTCATTTATAGTTATTATGTCTCCTTTCTTTCCTCCTGTCAGTTAAAATGGACTCTTCTGCATTTCCAGTCTAACTTTGTATCTGTCTGTCATAGGAGCCATTGTTGAGCAGGTCCCAACGTTTTTCTATATTGTGTACTGTACATGTTCTCTTTAAGTGGATTCTTAATACTACTTTTCATAGTTTTGGTCTGACTTTCCATAAATGGATATTTCTGAATTTCACCTTTCATACAGGCATACCTTGGTTTAGGTTTCAGAGAAAGCAAACCTTCATTAAATGTGCAGTAGCACTAGACAAAAAAAAAAAATATGCTCAATTCGGCTTGGAGTCAGCTGATGTGTGCATCACCACCACAAGCCATCTTAACCCTTTCAGGGTTTTGGCCGTACTAGTATGGCTTACGCACCAGGGTTTTTGACATACTAGTACGCCTAAATTTTAGTGCCCTCAAATCTAGTGAGAGAAAGCTGGTAGGCCTACATATGAAAGAATGGGTCTATGTGGTCAGTGTGCACGGTATAAAAAAAAATCCTGCAGCACAGTGTGTAATGAGAAAAAAAACTTTGACCGTGTTTCTGGATTAAAACAGCGACTTTGCACTGTATTTTCGTATGGTATTAATTGTTGTATTCTAGTTTTCCTGGTTTCAGAAATTGAGATGATTTTGACTGGTTTTACAAAGAAAAGTACCTTGAAATTGAGCTCAAAGTAGCAGAAATGTTCGAGTTTTACCAAAGTTCAAAAGTAAACAAATCATGCTATGCATCCAATACATGTCAGTTGGTGAGTCTAATATTCTTTCACAAGTGCACTGATATTATTTATACCATTTCTACATCAATGCAGTAGTCTGCATAACAGTAAATCTTCTAATTTTTTTTTTTGTGACAAAAATTCAAAGTGGAAAGCAAAAGAATGTAAGAGGGGCATGGGGACGTGACTAATGAACAGAGGAAATGTTATTTTAGTGCCAGGAATGTCTTTCTTGTTTATTCTGGACTATTTGGAAATTGGCATCTTTTGAAATTTGTGTGAAATTGGCAAAATTGCTAAATTCTGACCACTGTATTGGATAGTTGAAATCGGTAAATGGGTCGTTTCTTGTACTCATTCGATAGAAAAAATGGAGTTCTAGCGAAATAGTTATGATTTTTGTCGACAAGTACACTGGAATTGGCCGAAAATAGGGCTCAAAGTGGGCAAAATCGCCTATGCGTAAACATCATCAAGATCGCTAACTTCGCGAGAGCATAATTTCTTAAGCTTTCCATCAAATTTCATACTTTTGGTGTCATTATGATTGGGAAAAGATTCCCTATATTTTCATAAGAAAAAATATATATTTTTTTTTTTCGAAATTTGGGTGACCCTGAGAACAAGTCTGAGAGGGCCTGTCGACCCTGAAAGGGTTAATAGCAAGACGAGTACCAGTAATAATAACTAGATACGTAATTGATAAGTACTGTATTAGCGAAACACTTGAGTGAAGCTCCCTAAAGCAAGGTATGCCTGTATGAGGTATCTTAAAGTTTGCCAGCATGGCTTACCCCAAGTGAAGTAGGATAGGACTGGTGCTGGAGCTCCATGTGTAAGTGGTGTTAGTTTATCTTGCAGTGTTTGGTACGTGTATATTTTTGTAAGTGATTTCCATATGATGGAAAAAAAATTGCATGATACGGTACTGTAATCTTGTTACTGTATTTCATAATATTGGCAGCTAGTTCTACACAGCACATAAATGTCGATTGGTTTAGCTTTGTTGTTGCACAAATGTGTTTTGTAGTTCCGTGAAATGTTCCCTACAATATTGTAGAATAAATAATGTATAATTTTTTGTAACTTCCATTGTGATATTGAAACATGCATATGCACCGAGTATCAGGATTGTCACTTTTTGTGATATATGTACAGTAATCCCTCTTTTAGTATGGGCATTGGCATGCATCTAAACGTTCTGTGCATAAACGTGATGATGAGTTGGTATGACATCTAGTGTCAAGCTGTTTGTTAAATGCGCTTTTCAAAAATTCACTAGGATGTGAAACTTCAGAGGTCACAAATAAAAGCAGCAGTAGTTATACAGACGAAAGGTTCCATTGAAGAAAATCAAGGAAGTATTTGTGCAGCTTGCTCTCTTAAAACATGGACTGACACCTGACCTAAACAAGTAAAGCTCCAGTCTCAGTCCCATGTATTACTATGCAAAGCTTTCAGAACCTCACTTTAAGTGCTGTTGTGATGAAAATTACACTCGAACGCAACTTGATAATACTATTGTGAATACAAACAATAATTGCACAAAAGAATTATCCTGTGGAGACTTGCTTAATTGCTTTCGTCACTTCCCTTTTGTCGAGAATTTTGCCTACCGTTACGGTAGTTAAATTTTCTCCCTCTGAAGGTAGGTTTCTTCATGTTGGTGAAGGGCTCTTGATCTAGGAAATTGGACTTGTCCTCTTTTTCTTGGGTCAAACCTGATTGCCTCTAAGTATCCATGCACTGCAGGACCCGTACAAGTTTAGTGCTTTCCCTTCAATATGACGATAACATTTCTGGGTTCTCGTGTATTTGTAATTTAAAGAATTAAGTTATTTAACTTGGGTTAATTTTCCACAGGAGCTAGCACTCTCTGGTTTGGATATTCGAACATTTGAACAAGCAAACCCATGTAAACATCTGCTTGGTGATCTTGTGTGGGTTAACATTCGGGGAAGCCCACTCTGGCCTGCTATGATATCTTATGATTCTCTCCTTGGACAGTATAGCAGACTATCATGTGAGTATTAGGCTTCTTATGAATCTTTGTGGCATTGTTAAAGTTCCCCTCTCCTCCCCCCTCCCCCCCCTCCCCCTCCCTCCTCCCTCCTCCCTCCTCCCTCTCCCATCACCCACCCACTTACCTCCTCTTCTCGTACCTCCTACCCTTGTCTCTTACCTTCAGTCCTCTCCTACCTCCCCTCCCCTCCTACCTCCCCATACCTCCCCTTCTCTCCCACTACCTCAGATACACCACCCCTCTCTCCCTCCCTTCCCTCCCTCCCTTCCCTCCTCTCCCTTCCCTCCCTCCCTTCCCTCCCTCCCTCCCTCCCCTCCCTCCCTCCATTCCCTTCCTCCCTTCCCTCCCTCCATTTCCCCCTCCCTCCCTCCCTTCCCCCTTCCCTCCCTCTCCATTCCCTCCCTCCCTCCTCCATTCCCTCCCTCTCCTCCATTCCCTCCTCCCTCTCTCCATTCCCTCCCTCCTCCTCCATCTCCCTCCCTCCCTCCATCCCTCCCATTCCCTCCCATCCCTCCCTCCTCATTCCCTCCCCTCCCTCCCCCTCTCCTCCCTCCATTCCTCCCCTCCCCTCCCCTCCCTCTCCATTCCCTCCCTCCCTCCTCCCTCCATTCCCTCCCCTCCCCATCCCTCCTCTCTCCATTCCCTCCCTCCCTCCATTCCCTCCCTCTCCTTCCCTCCTCTCCATTCCCTCCCTCTCTCCCTCCATTCCTCCCCTCCCTCCTCCTCCCTCCATTCCCTCCCTCTCTCCCTCCATTCCCTCCTCTCTCTTCCCTCCATCTCTCCTTCCCTCTCCTCCTCCATTCCCTCCCTCTCTCCATTCCCTCCCTCTCTCCATTCCCTCCCTCTCTCCATTCCCTCCCTCTCTCCATTCCTCCCTCTCTCCATTCCCTCCCTCTCTCCATTCCCTCCCCTCTCTCCATTCCCTCCTCTCTCTCCATCCCTCCCTCTCTCCATTCCCTCCTCTCTCTCCATTCCCTCCCTCCCCTCCATTCCCTCCCTCTCTCCATTCCCCCTTCTCTCCATTCCCTCCCTCTTCCATTCCCTCCTCTCTCCCATTCCCTCCCTCTCTCCATTCCCTCACCTCTCCATTCCCTCCCTCTCTCCATTCCCTCCCTCTCTCCATTCCCTCCCTCTCTCCATTCCCTCCCTCTCTCCATTCCCTCCCTCTCTCCATTTCCCTCCCTCCCTCCCTTTCCCTCCCTCCCTCCCCTCCCTTCATCCTCTCCCCTCCCTTTCCTTCTTTTACCCTATCTCTCTAACACCAATTCTCTGGCACTTCCTCTTCTTCCATATGTCCTCCTCTTTCCCCATGTTGTAATCCTTCACAATGTGAATATCAACCATATCCTTTGAGTCTGGCTAATTAACAGTTAAATTAATACTAATTAGACATATATTTAAAATTGCCTGACATTGATTACTGCGTGTATGACATTATATAAGATATTAAATTACGTGTTCTTTTTATTTATAATAAAAAACAAGCGAAGTCATGCTCAACTTAATGTTTTCTATAAGTATTTTATAGGAACATGAATTTGAATGATTTTCTCCTGAGAATACAAGTTTTTTGACAGTGACACAGCTCTGGCGTAAGGTTCGCGGTATCCGGTTGTACCATGTGCAGTTCTTCAGTGACAATGCTATGACTTACTGGATTGCCCCTGGCAGTATTTTGCCATTTGAAGGCTTAGCCAAGTTGAAAGAATACCTCATTGAGCAAAAATCCAAGGTAAATATTTAGTATCCCACACACCTAAGAAATTAGAATTGCACCATATCATATAAGTGATGAATTGTGTAAGGAGGGCTGGGAAGTGACCTTAAAGTTGCAGGTCCACCGCACCAATCTTACCACACAGAAATATTGTCGAGGGCTTTCGAGTACAAGGTTGCCAGCTTGGTCCCCAGTGGTCCCTACACAAATTGTTACTAATGCCCCTAGATTTAGTAAACATTTGTTTTTTCTAAGCGCTGGATAAAATGTGTGCCAAGAATGTGGGGTATTGTCAGTGAATTATATTAATTAAAGGATAAAATAAACGTAGCTAATGTTACCGTTTTTTTTGGTACCATACATAATCCCAGTATATAACACAATGAAACTTCTCATTAATGGACTTTTGATTTATTGCTATCAGCAATTTTGGATAAAAAAAAATGGCTTGGGACATGCTTAAATTATTGAAAGAAATGGACAAAAGTCTGTAATTTCACATTTTCTTCGTAGCAATAGTGGCAGTAATGACTGGTTGCCCTCTGAAGTATTGGGCCAAGTCCGTTAACTCTTGACATTTGTCCAGTGCAGGCCAGAGCAACCACATCCAGGATCTGTTCTTTTTTCATTATTTCCTGAACCATAGGCCACCCGTGCCAGTTTATTATTTGTTCTCAATTGCACACTTGTCATTGTTTAATTTTCCTGGATTTAGAGCATTTTGTGTAACTATATTAACATATTAAGCAAAGAGCAATTAACAGTGGCATCTAAAGCAAGTGATTGTGCCATGTGAAAATGTATGGTTCTTATGTGTTAAGCAGAAACTTGAACTGATAAAGGTTAAGTCTGGTGTCTCAGTGGCATGGGTACGTGAGGAATATGGTGTTAAGAAACAGTGTCTGATATCTGTAGAAGCAAGGACAAGCTTGCACACTATGCTCTTAAATTTAGTGTAGATGCTAGCTATAAAGGTTTAACAGTTGGTCCTAGAAAGCATGCGAAAACTGCCCATGTTCACGACAGTTTAATGCTCATCTCTCCACCATGAGAAGGCAAGTAAAATTACTGTAAATTACACAGCACTACAAAACTATACAGTACAGTACTATACAGGTTACAATACTTGTATTCTTTGCATCTGTTAGTCTTCTGCATCAGCAGACCAAGTCCAATACATCAGAAGACAACTAGACAATCATGAAATGTACACACCCTACCCCTTATTAGTTCATTAATAAGAGGTTTCACTGTACTAAGAATGAAAAATATGTATAAATTAATAGCTTCTCACTATGTTAAAGAAACCTTAAGAGAGGTGAATGATGCCAGTGTGGGGTTCTTGATCCAGGAATCTGGACTTGCATTCCCTTTGGATGGAATCTGAGCACCTGCCATTCCCCAGGTGCTGTATAACCCCTATGTGTATAGCATTTTCCCCTTATTAAAACAAAACGGAGCAGAGGAGAGAGAGAGAGATACATGTTAATATATACATGGAAAATACTCGGGCCTGGTCCCAAATTTGCACACTGCCATAACAACATACTGGAGTGAGAGATATGGGAGGAAGTGTAAAATAAACCCAGTGAGGAGCAGGGGTGCGGTGGGGACAATAAGGGAACACTGTATCAACATCCGGGGTCCCAGACTATTCAACATCTTACCAGAAGATACCAGAAACGTGGCTGGAACAAGTGTAGAAGCCTTCAAGAGGAAACTGGACAAGTATCTTCACCAGGTGTCAGATCAACCAGGCTGTCATGGATATGTGGGGCAGCAGGCCTCCAGAAGCAACAGCCTGGTTGACCAGGCAAGCACCAGACGAGCCTGACCAATGGCCAGGCTCAGAGACTAGATTAGCTGTCGAAACTCTTCAAAGGTATATCAAAGCTAAAACAATCAGAAATATTCAACAATTGTAGAAGTATAGCTGGAGTAAGTATATGGAAGTTAAAAACACAGGCATGTATGATTTCATTCAAATATGGGTTATGAGCCTTTGTGCACCGCCTCCGAACTTTTTTAAAACTATGATGCGATCGACCTATTCCTTTACTGTGCAAGGTGAACTTGGGCAAAATATTTCAGTTGCAATTTATTGAAAAACAGTCGCTGGATGGGATTCTACTGTATCTCACTATCCAAATTATTTCATTTCACCCTTTGATTTTTCTCAGGTTTTTGTATAGCCCTGATTCTGATTTGGATGTTTAGTTTATATCCTTGTCCCCTTCTGGTCACTATCCTGTCTATACCTGTAAGTATTTCGTATGTCATAATCATATCTCTAGATCTTTCAAAAATAGGAGGCCTAGCATTCTCATTCTCTCTTCATAGCACATTTCTCATCTTCATTACCACTTTGGATGTGCTACTTTTGGCTTGTGTTTGATCAGATGAGTGTTCCATGCAATGCTGAGTAATGAAGAATTAATCTCTTCAAATCAGTAGTTCTCCCTCACTTGGAATATTGCTCAGTGCTGACGGCCCTATTCAAAGCAGGAGAAATATCGGAGCTGGAACAAAGGCAGAGATTGTTTATGGCTCACATTGAGCTAGTAAAGCACCTAAACTACTGGGAACGCCTTCAAGTCTTGAACATGTATTCATTGGAGCTGAGGAGAGAGAGATACATGATAATATATACCTGGAAAGTACTGGAGGGGCTGGTCCCAAATCTGCACATTGCCATAACATACTGGAGTGAGAGATATGGGAGGAAGTGTAAAATAAACCCAGTGAGGAGCAGGGGTGCAGTGGGGACAATAAGGGAACACTGTATCAATATCCGGGGTCCCAGACTATTCAACATCTTACCAGAAGATACCAGAAACATGGCTGGAACAAGTGTAGAAGCCTTCAAGAGGAAACTGGACAAGTATCTTCACCAGGTGCCAGATCAACCAGGCTGTCATGGATATGTGGGGCAGCGGGCCTCCAGAAGCAACAGCCAGGCTGACCAGGCAAGCACCAGACGAGGCCGACGCATGGCCGGTCTCAGAGAGTAGATAAACTCTCGAAACTTCAGAGGTAAGGTATATCAAAGGTATATATCATGTTGTAAAGTATGTCTTAAATGTGTGCTTTCTAGGTTTCTGAATACCATCCATATATTTATGAGATATGTACTGTTTAATTTTAACATTATTCACACCCAAGTCGATAATTATCTCTACAAAATAATTAGTAGTAGAGTTGTTGTTGAGAGCAAACAAAGACTGTCATTTATTCTGGTCCAATCTGGTGGTCTCTCTTTGTGGTCAGATTAATGGAGATGTGATACCTGAGCAGGGTAATATTTTGTGATGGGATCAGGGAAACTGGTTAGCCAAACTTTGAGTCCTCTGAAAGAGGGGGTTTGGGATATTTGCTGTTTAGAGTGACATCTTAACTCATATCTGCATGCATCTGGCAAGACAGCAATAGTGTGAATGATGGTGAAAGTGTTTCTTTTTCAGGTCACCCTTCCTTGGTGGGACAGTCAGTGTGTTAAAAAAAAAAAAAGTGAAACCTCTTTGTGTGGATTGCTGACTCATTTCTTACTTATTACAAAAGTAGAAGCCATATGTGATATTTCATTATATGTGTAGTATGTTTTTTTCAATAGTATACTCTGAGTTTGTTCTTATTCTCTCCATATCAATGTTTTTGTATATTCCATGTGTGGATGCTTATTTTTGTTAGGTTGAATTTGAATTCTAATATTTTCTGTGCCTTCACAAAAGAAATTACCTTAGCAATTGGAAGATATTGTTAATGTATTTTTATTGTATTTGTTATTAAAAAACATATTTATGTATTGGTTTTGGCTGTTTGAGATTAAAAACAAAGTATAAATTTATTTGCAAGTTCTTGGTGACAGTTTAAATAAATATCTACTTTTTATCCCATGTTAAACAGCTTTCAGATTTTAAACTTTTTTTTTAACAAGAAGGCTGAAAATTTTTGGAAGCACCTTTTAGGAGAACACTTTATTGGCAATAATGTAGCCAATAAACCATACAGTTATTTGTAATCTAAAACAATTTTTTCTTTACAGTTAAGAAAGTTACCGAGGTGCCAGCGATCACATACAGAATGCCAACTAAAAACTTTAACATACATGAAAAAGAACTCAGGACAGAAGTATGAGCGGTGGATGAAGGCTATTGAGGAAGCAAAAACTGCATTATTAATGGATAGGTCAGTATTGCTTAGTGACTAATTAAAGGCTGCTGATACACAGTACTTCATTTTGGCAGCATCACAGAAAGCTTAATAAATTCAAAAGTTTTATTCTTGTGCATTTAGGCCCATATTTCTTTTGTAGTTTTTGCATTTGACACCACAGGTTACTTGTCAGTTATATTGGACATCAAACTGCATTGTCTATCATACGTATAAAGGGGTTCTCTCATCTTTCTACAACTCTACACTGGTTACTACTTATATTATGAATTGTAGCAATTGGCATGGTAAGTTAGTTCTGACTTTCTATAACTTCCCAAGGATTTTGAAAGATTATGCAGAGAATTCATAGCTTGAAGATTAGGTATAGGTTTACTAAAATAATTATCTCCTAAGACTTAGGAGGGAGTGTTGAGGTGGTTTGGACAATTAGAGAGGGTAGAGTGAAATAGAAATACTTGGAGGGTATACAGATCTGTAGTGGAGGGAAGGTGGAGTAGGAGTTGCCCTAAGAAAGGATGGAGGGAGGAAATAAAGGAGCTTTTGTGTACAAGGGGCTTGGATATCCAGCAGGCATGTTTGTGAGCCTGTTAGATAGGAGTGCGTGAAAGCAAATGGTTTTTGGTGTGACGAGCTGTTGGACTGTGAGCAAGGTAACATTTTGTGAAGGTATTCAGGGAAGTCAGTTAGCCAAATTTATGTCCTGGAGGTGGGAAGTATGGTACCTGCACTCTGGAAGAAGGGTGGAGATATGTTGCAATTTTTGAACTGTGGTGTTGAGATGCCTCTGGCAGGACAGTGATGGAGTGAGTGATGAAAGCATTTCTTCTTTTTTTGGGTCACCCTGCCTCTGTGGGAAATAGCCAGTGTGTTTTTAAATAAAAATTAAAATTATAGGATTAACCAATAATTCAGTAGTTTTCAGCAAAGTTGCTTTTGTCCTCGTCAAATTACTGTCACATTGTAAGTACAGTAGGGGCTCACTTTTACAGCAGGTTAGGTTCCAGGCTACTGCCAGAAAGCGGACATCGCAGGAAAGCAGAACGCCATTTTTTCCACTTATAAATTATATAGATGCCAAATAACAAGTTTGCACTGACATATATTAAGTTATCAATAGAACTAGGCATTAAACACAATAAAAAATAAAATACACACACACACACACTCTTCTTTCTTTCAACAAACCGGCCGTATCCCACCGAGGCAGGGTGGCCCAAAAAGAAAAAAGTTTCTTTTTTTTTTTTAATTTAGTAATTTATACAGGAGAAGGGGCTACTAGCCCCTTGCTTCCAGCATTTTAGTCACCTCTTACAACACGCATGGCTTCAGAGGAAGAATTCTGTTCCACTTCCCCATGGAGATAGGAAATAAACAAGAACAAGAACTAGAAAGAAAATAGAAGAAAACCCAGAGGGGTGTGTATATATATGCTTGTACATGTATGTGTAGTGTGACCTAAGTGTAAGTAGAAGTAGCAAGACATACCTGAAATCTTGTATATTTATGAGACAGAAAAAAGACACCAGCAATCCTACCATCATGCAAAACAATTACAGGTTTCCGTTATACAATCACTTGGCAGGACGGTAGTACCTCCCTGGGCGGCTGCTGTCTACCAACCTACTACCTACAACACATACACTCTTTTTTCAACAAGTCGGCCGTCTCCCACCAAGGCAGGGTGACCCAAAAAAGAAAGAAAATCCCCAAAAAGAAAATACTTTCATCATTATTCAACACTTTCACCACACTCGCACATTATCACTGTTTTTGCAGAGGTGCTCAGAATACAACAGTTTAGAAGCATACACATATAAAGATGCACAACATATCCCTCTAAACTGCCAATATCCCAAACCCCTCCTTTAAAGTGCAGGCATTGTATTTCCCATTTCCAGGACTCAAGTCCGACTATATGAAAATAACCGGTTTCCCTGAATCCCTTCACTAAATATTACCCTGCTCACACTCCAACAGATCGTCAAGTCCCAAGTACCATTCGTCTCCATTCACTCCTATCTAACACGCTCACGCACGCTTGCTGGAAGTCCAAGCCCCTTGCCCACAAAACCTCCTTTACCCCCTCTTCCAACCCTTTCGAGGACGACCCCTACCCCGCCTTCCTTCCCCTATAGATTTATATGCTTTCCATGTCATTCTACTTTGATCCATTCTCTCTAAATGACCAAACCACCTCAACAACCCCTCTTCTGCCCTCTGACTAATACTTTTATTAACTCCACACCTTTTCCTAATTTCCACACTCCGAATTTTCTGCATAATATTTACACCACACATTGCCCTTAAACAGGACATCTCCACTGCCTCCAACCGTCTCCTCGCTGCTGCATTTACCACCCAAGCTTTACACCCATATAAGAGTGTTGGTACTACTATACTTTCATACATTCCCTTCTTTGCCTCCATAGATAACGTTTTTTGACTCCACATATACCTCAACGCACCACTCACCTTTTTTCCCCTCATCAATTCTATGATTAACCTCATCCTTCATAAATCCATCCGCTGACACGTCAACTCCCAAGTATCTGAAAACATTCACTTCTTCCATACTACTCCTCCCCAATTTGATATCCAATTTTTCTTTATCTAAATCATTTGACATCCTCATCACCTTACTCTTTTCTATGTTCGCTTTCAACTTTCTACCTTTACACACATTCCCAAACTCATCCACTAACCTTTGCAATTTTTCTTTAGAATCTCCCATAAGCACAGTATCTTCAGCAAAAAGTAACTGTGTCAATTCCCATTTTGAATTTGATTCCCCAAAATTTAATCCCACCCCTCTCCCAAACACCCTAGCATTTACTTCCTTTACAACCCCATCTATAAATATATTAAACAACCATGGTGACATTACACATCTCTGTCTAAGACCTACTTTTACCGGGAAGTAGTCTCCCTCTCTTCTACACACCCTAACCTGAGCCTCACTATCCTCATAAAAACTCTTTACAGCATTTAATAACTTACCACCTATTCCATACACTTGCAACACCTGCCACATTGCTCCTCTATCCACTCTATCATATGCCTTTTCTAAATCCATAAATGCAATAAAAACCCCTACCTTTATCTAAATACTGTTCACATATATGCTTCAATGTAAACACTTGATCTACACATCCCCTACCCACTCTGAAACCTCCTTGCTCATCCGCAATCCTACATTCTGTCTTACCTCTAAGTCTTTCAGTTATAACCCTACCGTACACTTTTCCTGGTATACTCGGTAAACTTTTTTTTTTTTTTTTCTACAAGTTGGCCGTCTCCCACCGAGGCAGGGTGACCCAAAAAAGGAAGAAAATCCCCAAAAAGAAAATGCTTTCATCATCATTCAACACTTTCACTACACTCACACATAATCACTTTTTGCAGAGGTGCTCAGAATACAACAGTTTAGAAGCATATACGTATAAAGATACACAACATATCCCTCCAAACTGCCAATATCCCAAACCGCTCCTTTAAAGTGCAGGCATTGTACTTCCCATTTCCAGGACTCAAGTCCGACTATATGAAAATAACCGGTTTCCCCGAATCCCTTCTCTAAATATTACCCTGCTCACACTCCAACAGATCGTCAGGTCCCAAGTACGATTCGTCTCCATTCACTCCTATCTAACACACTCACGCACGCTTGCTGGAAGTCCAAGCCCCTTCCCCACAAAACCTCCTTTACCCCCCTCCCTCCAACCCTTTCGAGGACAACCCCTACCTCGCCTTCTTCCCCTTATTCCTCTATAATTTTTACAGTCTCTTTTGTCCCCTTTCCCTTTATATAAAGGGACTATACATGCTCTCTGCCAATCCCTAGGTACCTTCCCCTCTTTCATACATTTATTAAACAAAAGTACCAACCACTCCAACACTATATCCCCCCCTGCTTTTAACATTTCTGTCATGATCCCATCAGTTCCAGCTGCTTTACCCCCTTTCATTCTACGTAATGCCTCACGTACCTCCCCCACACTTACATTCTGCTCTTCTTCACTCCTAAAAGATGGTATACCTCCCTGACCAGTGCATGAAATTACTGCCTCTGTTTCTTCCTTAACATTTAAAAGTTCCTCAAAATATTCTCGCCATCTACCTAATACCTCCATCTCCCCATCTACTAACTCCCCTACTCTGTTTTTAACTGACAAATCCATACTTTCCCTTGGCTTTCTTAACTTGTTTAACTCACTCCAAAATTTTTTCTTATTTTCATTATATGTATTATATGTATTACTTATTACCAAATCTCTTTCTACACATAGCTCAATTAAAGGCTCCCCATTTACATTTACCCCTGGCACCCCAAATTTACCTACTAGTCCCTCTATAACATTTTTACCCACTTTAGCATTGAAATCCCCAACCACCATTACTCTCACACTTGATTCAAAACTCCCCACGCATTCGCTCAACATTTCCCAAAATCTCTCTCTCTCTCCTCTACACTTCTCTCTTCTCCAGGTGCATACACTCTTATTATAACCCACTTTTCACATCCAATCTTTATTTTACTCCACATAATCCTTGAATTAATACATTTATAGTCCCTCTTTTCCTGCCATAGCTTATCCTTCAACATTATTGCTACTCCTTCTTTAGCTCTAACTCTATTTGAAACCCCTGACCTAATCCCATTTATTCCTCTCCATTGAAACTCTCCCACCCCCTTCAGCTTTGTTTCACTTAAAGCCAGGACATCCAGCTTCTTCTTATTCATAACATCCACAATCATCTCTTTCTTATCATTTGCACAACATCCACGCACATTCAGACTTCCCACTTTGGCAATTTTCTTCTTATTCTTTTTAGTAATCTTTACAGGAAAAGGGGTTACTAGCCCATTGTTCCCGGCATTTTAGTTGACTTTTACAACACGCATGGCTTACGGAGGAAAGATTCTTATTCCACTTCCCCATGGATATAAAAGGAAAAGTAATAAGACCAAGAACTATTAAGATAAAATCAAAGAAAACTCAGATGAGTGTGTATAAATAAATGTGTACATGTATGTGTAGTGTGACCTAAGTGTAAGTAGAAGTAGCAAGACATACCTGTAATCTTGCATATTTATGAGACAGACAAAAGACATCAGCAATCCTACCATCATGTAAAACAATTACAGGCTTTCGTTTTACACTCACTTGGCAGGATGGTAGTACCTCCCTGGGTGGTTGCTGTCTATCAACCTACTACTTGTAGATGTAATGCATAATAAACATGACTGGCAACTGTCAAGTAATATGCATTTTCACTTGTTCAGGAAGCAGACATGATCATGTGTAATACCAGTTGATTCATGAGCAACTCTCTGAGACAGGCAGACAGAAAGACAGACACAGATAGTCAGAGCTAGACACAGAGAACCAGACAGACATGTTTATTTGTAACAGTGAAAACAAATAAAGAGAAGGCAGTGTACGCTCATCAAATGTCACCATTAGCTGCACTGTCAGCAGTGGAGTGACACAAGTCTTACATCATGCTTCAAGGGAATTTATTATCATTATTATTATTCATAGTATTATTATTAACGTACTCCCGCATATCCAAAACATTGCTGGGACCTATAAATACTATGTATATATTTCTAGACAAAAGTATGTGACTAAGGTAGGTAAAAATGCTCACCTGTCACTGTGTTTGTGACTATTTGAGTGCTATTTCAATACCTAATATTAGTATCAGAACGAAGAATAACTATGAAATCACAAGAACAACTACAAATTGTAATTATGAGAACATAAAAATTATACAAATTAAAAAAAAATAAGAAAAAAAAGGTATATCGGCAACACATCTGCAAGCGGCAGTGCTTCATGTTGCCGTCAAGTGAGCGACAAGTGCCGAATTTGCGGCCTTATATTTCTGTAAGTATTGACTCTAGATTTTTTTTTTTTTTTCAACAAGTCGGCCGTCTCCCACCGAGGCAGGGTGACCCAAAAAAGTGTCCTCTTCATTTTTTTTTTTTTTTTCAAAATATTCGGAGCGCTGGGAGAGTGAGTGTAAATCTACGTTTGGACATTTAAGGGGTTAAGTCTTGCTTATCCATTGCTACCCTTTTTTCTCTTCCCACTTGGTCTTTTTTTTCATTTAATACCATTAACTGTATTAGCACAGTGGTGCAAAATAGTTAAAGGTAAATTTGTATTACTGCTTTCTGTAGGACATCAAATGGTTAATTATAAGAAGGAACGTTTAGAGTGTGTTTATACATTATAATTTTCTGTGTCAAATGAAGTAAGGTAATTTTATTTCATTTTTCAGATATGAAAGAATACAAAAGTATGCATTGCAAAAACTTGAAAGTGAAGCTCAAGATAATAATCAAATGGTGATTAAATCTTCCTATAAAAGTCTCTCTCTGGGTAGAGTTCGTAATCCTGTCATTGAGGTAAAGCCAGAGAAAAGGAAAAGAGGGCGTCCAAGAAAACACAGCAAGGCCCTGCCTATTTTGAAATTGCTTAAGTCAAATGGTGACTCAACAGATGGAGAGTTTTCTGGTTTTGATGAAAATTCGTTTGAGAATAATAAAGAAAGGGCTAATATGGTGTCCAAACTGAGTAAAGAAAGCGACTTTGCTTCATATGCTCGGGAGCATTTAGAAAATTGTATGTTAGAAAATCCAGGCATATCAGAACAAACTGCTCGTAGCAAATTGAGATGGAAATGGAAGAAGCTGTCAAGTTCTCAGACAGTCAGATACAAATCTAAGCGTAAATATGGGGATAAGCTGGTAACAGATGGCTCTGAAGTGAATATTCTTAAGCGTAAACTTAGCAGTTTTGAAGAGAGAGAAGAATATGAAGAAACTGATGCACTGTCTACTAAACGGCAAAAGACAGATGATGATGTCGCTAAGCTCCAAATTACAGACGATGATAAACAGCAAAATGTAGATGATGTTTCCACTAAACGACAAAGAACAGATGATGATGTAGATAGTATACGTGGTGTGTACAAAGTAGTTCGTAATGAGAAAGTATGTTACCGGTGTGAGGGTGTAAGTGACAAGTCTGGGGCTGATATGGTCCGCTGTAAAGGACTCTGTTGTGGTGTTTTTCACCTCATCTGTTTAGGTTTAAGTTCAATGCCAAAAAGAGACTTTAAATGTGAAGAATGCCAAACTGGACATCACATGTGTTTCCAATGCAAGATGTTTGGTGGCATAATGCAAAGATGTAGCGTGCCCTTCTGTGGAAAATTTTACCATGAAGAATGCGTGCAGCAGTGGCCTCAAGTTTCCAGACAGCGTCAACAGGAGGTAAGTGTGTCTTGTATCAACTAACAGGGACTTATAATTTTTGTGTTGTTATCTTTAAGCAATAAGTTGAATGTTGGGATAATGAGTTAAAATTCTTTCCTTGTAAGCAATACATTTTGTAAAAGGACTACAATGCTAGGAGCAAGGGGCTAGTAACCCCCTCTTGTATAAAGTTACTGGGTGTAGCACTTAATGCCTCTTCTTTTAAGGCATTCATTCCATTGTTCTTTCACTCAAGAATTTTTCTCTTATCCTTTTGGCACCTTGTTCTTAAAGTAAGGAATAGCATAAGCCAAAAGATAATGAAAAAGACATTGTGTTTGCAAAGAAAATTTTGCTATGACGTTTTGTTCAGAACTGGACTTTGTTAAATGCAGTATACCAAAACACATTGCTGCTCATTGCATTCTACAATTGTACTTTCTGAATTATGGAGCAGCACTACAGTTTTATCAGTAGAAGACAACCAAATACAGGATTTTGGTTCTTATCTCCCTCCGTGCATAAAGTGAATTACTGACAAACCTCTGGCGGTCTTCAAGAGGGAGCAGGACAAGTTCCCCAAATTAGTGCTTGACCAGCCAAGCTGTGGTTTGTACCCTAGACTTTGTGTGGCCAACAGTAAAAGCTTGGTTGATCAGACTGATCCTCCAGGATGCCTGGACAGGAATCCAGCTAGTATGGAGTCATTGAACCCTGGAAATGTCCTTGAATTATCAGGCCTCCTGCACTTCAGAAAATACATTGTTTAACACCTCTCTCCCTTACAACCTTTCTTGTTACCTCACCTTGACCTCTGTTGAATATAAGACAATGTGTATGGTTGTTTTTAAGTCCAGTCCTGGATGTAATGTCATAACGAAGGTTTATTTACAGACAGCTCTTGCTTGGTTTATAATTATGGGTTCTTGTTCTTCCCATTGATGGTGCTAAGAAATATGTGCTCTTGATCCTTTTGGGTTTAGTGCTTCTCAACAGGCTTGTAATGTCCAGTCTTCAGTATTTATTTATTTTTTTATATACTTCCTCAATGGCCATCTCCTGCCAAGGCAGGGTGACAGCAACCACCCAGGGAAGTACTACCGTCCTGCCAGATGACTGTGAAACAAAAACCTGTAATTGTTTTGCATGATGGTAGGATTGCTGGTTTCTTTTTCTGTCTCATAAACACGCTAAGATAACAGGGATATCTTGCTACTCCTACTTACACTTTGGTCACACTTCACAGACACGCACATGCATATATATATATACATACATCTAGGTTTTTCTCCTTTTTCTAAATAGCTCTTGTTCTTTTTTATTTCTTCTATTGTCCATGGGGAAGTGGAAAAGAATCTTTCCTCCGTAAGCCATGCGTGTCGTATGAGGCGACTAAAATGCCGGGAGCAATGGGCTAGTAACCCCTTCTCCTGTATACAATTACTAAAAAAGAGAAGAAGAAAAACTTTATAAAACTGGGTTGCTTAAATGTGCGTGGATGTAGTGCGGATGACAAGAAACAGATGATTGCTGATGTTATGAATGAAAAGAAGTTGGATGTCCTGGCCCTAAGCGAAACAAAGCTGAAGGGGGTAGGAGAGTTTCAGTGGGGGGAAATAAATGGGATTAAATCTGGAGTATCTGAGAGAGTTAGAGCAAAGGAAGGGGTAGCAGTAATGTTAAATGATCAGTTATGGAAGGAGAAAAGAGAATATGAATGTGTAAATTCAAGAATTATGTGGATTAAAGTAAAGGTTGGATGCGAGAAGTGGGTCATAATAAGCGTGTATGCACCTGGAGAAGAGAGGAATGCAGAGGAGAGAGAGAGATTTTGGGAGATGTTAAGTGAATGTATAGGAGCCTTTGAACCAAGTGAGAGAGTAATTGTGGTAGGGGACTTGAATGCTAAAGTAGGAGAAACTTTTAGAGAGGGTGTGGTAGGTAAGTTTGGGGTGCCAGGTGTAAATGATAATGGGAGCCCTTTGATTGAACTTTGTATAGAAAGGGGTTTAGTTATAGGTAATACATATTTTAAGAAAAAGAGGATAAATAAGTATACACGATATGATGTAGGGCGAAATGACAGTAGTTTGTTGGATTATGTATTGGTAGATAAAAGACTGTTGAGTAGACTTCAGGATGTACATGTTTATAGAGGGGCCACAGATATATCAGATCACTTTCTAGTTGTAGCTACACTGAGAGTAAAAGGTAGATGGGATACAAGGAGAATAGAAGCATCAGGGAAGAGAGAGGTGAAGGTTTATAAACTAAAAGAGGAGGCAGTTAGGGTAAGATATAAACAGCTATTGGAGGATAGATGGGCTAATGAGAGCATAGGCAATGGGGTCGAAGAGGTATGGGGTAGGTTTAAAAATGTAGTGTTAGAGTGTTCAGCAGAAGTTTGTGGTTACAGGAAAGTGGGTGCAGGAGGGAAGAGGAGCGATTGGTGGAATGATGATGTAAAGAGAGTAGTAAGGGAGAAAAAGTTAGCATATGAGAAGTTTTTACAAAGTAGAAGTGATGCAAGGAGGGAAGAGTATATGGAGAAAAAGAGAGAGGTTAAGAGAGTGGTGAAGCAATGTAAAAAGAGAGCAAATGAGAGAGTGGGTGAGATGTTATCAACAAATTTTGTTGAAAATAAGAAAAAGTTTTGGAGTGAGATTAACAAGTTAAGAAAGCCTAGAGAACAAATGGATTTGTCAGTTAAAAATAGGAGGGAGAGTTATTAAATGGAGAGTTAGAGGTATTGGGAAGATGGAGGGAATATTTTGAGGAATTGTTAAATGTTGATGAAGATAGGGAAGCTGTGATTTCGTGTATAGGGCAAGGAGGAATAACATCTTGTAGGAGTGAGGAAGAGCCAGTTGTGAGTGTGGGGGAAGTTCGTGAGGCAGTAGGTAAAATGAAAGGGGGTAAGGCAGCCGGATTGATGGGATAAAGATAGAAATGTTAAAAGCAGGTGGGGATATAGTTTTGGAGTGGTTGGTGCAATTGTTTAATAAATGTATGGAAGAGGGTAAGGTACCTAGGGATTGGCAGAGAGCATGCATAGTTCCTTTGTATAAAGGCAAAGGGGATAAAAGAGAGTGCAAAAATTATAGGGGGAAAGTCTGTTGAGTGTACCTGGTAAAGTGTATGGTAGAGTTATAATTGAAAGAATTAAGAGTAAGACGGAGAATAGGATAGCAGATGAACAAGGAGGCTTTAGGAAAGGTAGGGGGTGTGTGGACCAGGTGTTTACAGTGAAACATATAAGTGAACAGTATTTAGATAAGGCTAAAGAGGTCTTTGTGGCATTTATGGATTTGGAAAAGGCGTATGACAGGGTGGATAGGGGGGCAATGTGGCAGATGTTGCAAGTGTATGGTGTAGGAGGTAGGTTACTGAAAGCAGTGAAGAGTTTTTTAACGAGGATAGTGAGGCTCAAGTTAGAGTATGTAGGAAAGAGGGAAATTTTTTCCCAGTAAAAGTAGGCCTTAGACAAGGATGTGTGATGTCACCGTGGTTGTTTAATATATTTATAGATGGGGTTGTAAGAGAAGTAAATGCAGGGTCTTGGCAAGAGGCGGAGTTAAAAGATAAAGAATCACACACAAAGTGGGAGTTGTCACAGCTGCTCTTTGCTGATGACACTGTGCTCTTGGGAGATTCTGAAGAGAAGTTGCAGAGATTGGTGGATGAATTTGGTAGGGTGTGCAAAAGAAGAAAATTAAAGGTGAATACAGGAAAGAGTAAGGTTATGAGGATAACAAAAAGATTAGGTGATGAAAGATTGAATATCAGATTGGAGGGAGAGAGTATGGAGGAGGTGAACGTATTCAGATATTTGGGAGTGGACGTGTCAGCGGATGGGTCTATGAAAGATGAGGTGAATCATAGAATTGATGAGGGAAAAAGAGTGAGTGGTGCACTTAGGAGTCTGTGGAGACAAAGAACTTTGTCCTTGGAGGCAAAGAGGGGAATGTATGAGAGTATAGTTTTACCAACGCTCTTATATGGGTGTGAAGCGTGGGTGATGAATGTTGCAGCGAGGAGAAGGCTGGAGGCAGTGGAGATGTCATGTCTGAGGGCAATGTGTGGTGTGAATATAATGCAGAGAATTCGTAGTTTGGAAGTTAGGAGGAGGTGCGGGATTACCAAAACTGTTGTCCAGAGGGCTGAGGAAGGGTTGTTGAGGTGGTTCGGACATGTAGAGAGAATGGAGCGAAACAGAATGACTTCAAGAGTGTATCAGTCTGTAGTGGAAGGAAGGCGGGGTAGGGGTCGGCCTAGGAAGGGTTGGAGGGAGGGGGTAAAGGAGGTTTTGTGTGCGAGGGGCTTGGACTTCCAGCAGGCATGCGTGAGCGTGTTTGATAGGAGTGAATGGAGACAAATGGTTTTTAATACTTGACGTGCTGTTGGAGTGTGAGCAAAGTAACATTTATGAAGGGATTCAGGGAAACCGGCAGGCCGGACTTGAGTCCTGGAGATGGGAAGTACAGTGCCTGCACTCTGAAGGAGGGGTGTTAATGTTGCAGTTTAAAAACTGTAGTGTAAAGCACCCTTCTGGCAAGACAGTGATGGAGTGAATGATGGTGAAAGTTTTTCTTTTTCGGGCCACCCTGCCTTGGTGGGAATCGGCCGGTGTGATAATAAAATAAAAAAAAATTTATTCAGTCACTGTCTTGCCAGAAGTGTGCTGACATCACAGTTTAGATTACCAAAATACTGCAACATCCCCACCCCATCTTTCATAGTGCAGGCACTGCCCTTCCCACCTCTAGGACTTAAGTCCAGCTAACTAGTTTCCATGAATCTCATTAATAGTTGAAGCACTTACTACCTCTTTAAATTAATTTCATTCTTAATTTCTGTTAGGAAAGAAATATTTTCTGTTGTGAACCAAGTCTTTTAATATTACTATGGGAAGGTTAGAGGGTACGGAAATGTCTCGAGTAAGATCAGAGAGTGGCGTAAATATTTTATGCATTAAAAAGGATAGTTTGAAGACAGTCTTGAGTGAAAGGTGTAATGGAAAGGGCAAAAGAATAGCTAAGATAGTTTACACATGAAAAAATATACAGATGTCCCCCATTTCATGTTGTAGCTGTGTTCTAGGGCATTTGCATCAAAACTAGGCTTAATAAGGCCATAAGCTTAATTATACATAATAAGAATCATCATTGTACTTGGCACCCCTTGCCAATCATGTCTGAAGATCATAAATTGCATATATAGAAGTTTTTTTTTTTTTTCAAATGAGCTGGCTGTAACAGACTGAGGCAGGGTGATCTAAAATAAAAAAAAACAATTTTTTTTTCTTTTTAAGTTTAGTAATCTGTACTGGAGAAGGGGTTACTAGCCCCTTGCTCCCGGCATTTTAGTCACCTCTTAGGACACACATGGCTTGCAGAGGAAGAATTCTTTTCCACTTTCCCATAGAGATGTATAGAATTACCATGACATAGAACATTGCACAAAGTGAGGGAGACCTGTATATTGCGAGATAAGTTGATAATTTTTTTATTAGCACATTGGCCTTTTCCCACCAAGACAGGGCAACCTGAAAAAGAAGAAACACTTTCATCATCATTCACTCCATCACTGTCTTGCTAGAGGCATTCTGACACTACACTTAAAAAACTACAACATATCTCCACCCCTCCTTCAGAGTGCAGGCACTGTACTTCCCACCTCCAGGACTTGAGTCCTGCTAACCAGTTTCCCTGAATCCCTTCATAAATGTTACTCTGCTCACACTCCAACAGCACGTGGTCTAATGTTAAACCGTTCGTCTCCATTCGCTCCTATCTAACACACACATGCTTGCTGGAAGTCCAAGCTCCTCATACACAAACCCTCCTTTACTTCCAACCTTTCCTAGGATTCTCTACCATGCCTTCCTTCCACTATAGATTTATACACCCTGCAAGTCATCCTATTTTGCTCTACCCTCTCTACATGTCCGAACCATCTAAACAAATGGAACACAAATGGAGGTTGTAAAGGAAGCAAGAATTGGGAGGATGGTATAAAAAAGAATGGTGTTGAGAAACAGTAACCTTAACATTCAGCAGGCAAATTTGATGGTCTTAGGTGGTGACAAGTGGTGCATAATTATCTCTTACTTTCTCCATTATTGAATTGCAAGAAATTGTTTGATAAAGAGGATGTATAGTTGGTTATATTGTAGTAGGAAATTGCCATAGTTTTGAACTATCACTAAACTAAATTTTTTCAGAGGTTCATATGCCCACGTCATGTTTGTCATATGTGTGCTGCTAATGCTGATGATATGGGTGACCCAGTTGCAAGAAACCCTCCATTCACTCGATGTCTGCGATGTCCTACTACCTATCACACAGGTTTGACTAGTGAATGGTTCTTCTTGTTTGTAGTTTACTAGTGGTTGTTTTACCTGAAGTGTTATATTAGTTGTCTAATTCCTACCTGCTATTTTTTTTATATATAATTTATTGCTTAATTTTTTTAAGCTCTGTATGCATATACAGAACCCATGAACCACTACTGGATATCAGCCTGTTGATACACCCACTATTACACCAGAAATAGATTGTGATCACATTTTGCCAAGCTAACCTTGCGCCTCTTTTTCCTCCTGCACTCCGTTGCTGTCTGCAGCACCAGCAGTGAGTCTTTCTAGCTGTTTGGTTTTACAAAAAATGCTAAGCAAACAGTTTAGATTTTTTTTTTCCCCCACCTTCCAGTATACAGCTGTCACATGGAAACTGGATGCTGGTGGTAGGATTCTATTACAGTAGTGGTTCTTGGAACCTGAATACAGAATACATTTTGAAGCATGAAAAATTGTTTTCTATCATAGATTCCTTATGATGTATTGTACAGTATTTTAGTTAGCTGAAGAATATTTACTTTTTACCTTCCTTCATGAGATTGGGAATATTATTTTTTTCCTTCTTTCAAGGGTTTTTTGTTATGTACTGGTTCCTGCTTCTTAATCATTTCAGGATCAAAGAATTGGTCAGATTTATAATCTAACATTGCAGTCTTCAGATTTTAGACAGTAATTAAACACTGGAGGACAGTTTGACTAGCACACTAATGGCAGAAACCACTTTGGCACCCTGACATAAGAGATTGAAGGACATTATATCAAGTGAGAAATGCAAATACAGTAAAGCAATTTGGTTATAAATCAAGGACCAGAAGTTTGTTAGATGACATATTTGAAAAAGACTTGTATAAGGGTTAGAGAAAATATAGAAGTTTTTCTAATGAGCTAAAGTGAGTATGGCTTGAATAAATTAAAAAATTTAGAAAGTTCACCAGTTTACCTTACCCATGGTAGTACTTTTCATGGAAAACCAAATCAAACCAGTCTAAAATCTGGTTTATTGTTAATTTTGCGCATTTCTTGTTCAATAGGTGAAGACTGTATAGCTGCAGGCACCGAGGAAGTATCACAGAGTCATCATATTTGTACCAAGCACCTTCAGTTACCCAAGAATGGTACTCATCATGTCAATGTTACTTGGTGCTTCTGCTGTTCAAAGGTTTGTATAATTGTAAAGGATAGCATGCATTTAAATTTACTAAATGTTTAGCAGTTTGAATTTAGCATGTGTTCTAGTAAATTGTGATCGTTAAATAAGGTATATCCACCCACCTTTACTTTGTAATTCATATATTCCTTGCCAGTAATTAACATCATGTATTAGTTACTCAAGGTGGGTGGATCATGATAATGTTGTATTAATTGCTCATAAGAAATTGTGAAAAATGGCTTGACTGATCACTGGAGAATTAATATAAATGGACAGTTGAGAAATGTGAAAGAGAAGTATAGAGTACCATGTTTGGATTTTTTTTTTTAGAAGACTTTGTACTTTATATCATTACAAACACTTCAGTTGCCTTTAAATAATCATAGAAGGAAGGACTCGGAACATGTTACGGACATCTACTTAATGGTTTTTGCTTTCACCAAAGTGAAATGTTCATCACTTGTACTTAGTAACAAGATGGGGCTAGGCAGGCTTACCTAAGCAAGCATATAAGGTACCATGATTAAGGGGCAGTTAGCATCTGCACTTTGCTAACAAAAGCCTTAATTTTTCTCCCAAGCCGCTCATGCACAAGTAAGAGTATTTTAAGTGTAGCAGAAAAAGAAAGGAAACAGTAAGGGTTATTTTAAAGGCAATATGGTAATGAGAAGTAAAGCAGATCACAAGGTTGCATTCCAGTGTAAATATATTAACTAAAGAATATCAGTGAGAGAATGGAAAGCAGTTACTAATATATAGTGTGAGATGTCTAAACCTGTGGGTCATTCAGCACAAAAATACTAGTGGAGACTCACTCCTTCATCCACTAAACAGGAAAGAGCTACAATACTGAACTGTACTGGAAACATCCAGTAAATAAAAGCAAAGGAGGTTTGAGGGATTATTTGAGAAAATAGAAATTTCAAAGTTTTCATATTTTGCTTAGAAGCATTGGAATATGTAGATCCATATATAAGATACAATAAATGTAGGTTTTTCAAGGATTGTACAGTGCTTAGAAGTCTCTTCTTGCAATGACTGCATAAGTTGTAGTTAGCTGTACTTACTACAAATGTTATTTGTAAACACATTTCTATAGTGTAATCTGATATCATTAACCCTTTGACTGTCGCGGCCGTATATATACGTCTTACGAGGTACCGTGTTTGACGTATATATACTCATAAATTCTAGCGGCTTCAATGTTTACATTGAAGCATATATGTGAACAGTATTTAGATAAAGGTAGGGAAGTTTTTATTGCATTTATGGATTTAGAAAAGGCATATGATAGAGTGGATAGAGGAGCAATGTGGCAGATGTTGCAAGTATATGGAATAGGTGGTAAGTTATTAAATGCTGTAAAGAGTTTTTATGAAGATAGTGAGGCTCAGGTTAGGGTGTGTAGAAGAGAGGGAGACTATTTCCCGGTAAAAGTAGGTCTTAGACAGGGATGTGTAATGTCACCATGGTTGTTTAATATATTTATAGATGGGGTTGTTAAGGAAGTAAATGCTAGGGTGTTTGGGAGAGGGGTGGGATTAAATTATGGGGAATCAAATTCAAAATGGGAATTGACACAGTTACTTTTTGCTGATGATACTGTGCTTATGGGAGATTCTAAAGAAAAATTGCAAAGGTTAGTGGATGAGTTTGGGAATGTGTGTAAAGGTAGAAAGTTGAAAGTGAACATAGAAAAGAGTAAGGTGATGAGGGTGTCAAATGATTTAGATAAAGAAAAATTGGATATCAAATTGGGGAGGAGGAGTATGGAAGAAGTGAATGTTTTCAGATACTTGGGAGTTGACGTGTCGGCGGATGGATTTATGAAGGATGAGGTTAATCATAGAATTGATGAGGGAAAAAAGGTGAGTGGTGCGTTGAGGTATATGTGGAGTCAAAAAACGTTATCTATGGAGGCAAAGAAGGGAATGTATGAAAGTATAGTAGTACCAACACTCTTATATGGGTGTGAAGCTTGGGTGGTAAATGCAGCAGCGAGGAGACGGTTGGAGGCAGTGGAGATGTCCTGTTTAAGGGCAATGTGTGGTGTAAATATTATGCAGAAAATTCGGAGTGTGGAAATTAGGAGAAGGTGTGGAGTTAATAAAAGTATTAGTCAGAGGGCAGAAGAGGGGTTGTTGAGGTGGTTTGGTCATTTAGAGAGAATGGATCAAAGTAGAATGACATGGAAAGCATATAAATCTATAGGGGAAGGAAGGCGGGGTAGGGGTCGTCCTCGAAAGGGTTGGAGAGAGGGGGTAAAGGAGGTTTTGTGGGTAAGGGGCTTGGACTTCAAACAAGCGTGCATGAGCGTGTTAGATAGGAGTGAATGGAGACGAATGGTACTTGGGACCTGACGATCTGTTGGAGTGTGAGCAGGGTAATATTTAGTGAAGGGATTCAGGGAAACCGGTTATTTTCATATAGTCGGACTTGAGTCCTGGAAATGGGAAGTACAATGCCTGCACTTTAAAGGAGGGGTTTGGGATATTGGCAGTTTGGAGGGATATGTTGTGTATCTTTATATGTGTATGCTTCTAGACTGTTGTATTCTGAGCACCTCTGCAAAAACAGTGATAATGTGCGAGTGTGGTGAAAGTGTTGAATGATGATGAAAGTATTTTCTTTTTGGGGATTTTCTTTCTTTTTTGGGTCACCCTGCCTCGGTGGGAGACGGCCGACTTGTTGAAAAAAAAAAAAAAAAAAAAATTCTAGCGGTTTCAAATCAAGAAGGAGAAAGCTGGTAGGCCCACATGTGAGAGAATGGGTCTGTGTGGTTAGTGTGCACCACATAAAAAAATCCTGGAGCACGCAGTGCTTAATGAGAAAAAAAAAAACTCCGACCGTTTTTTTTAATTAAAATGCAAATTTTATGGTTTATTTTTGTATAGTATTTATGGTTGTATTCTCGTTTTCTTGGTCTCATTTGATAGAATGGAAAACATATTATAGAAAAAGAGATGATTTTGATTGATTTTACTATAAAAAAAAACCCTGGAAATGGAGCTCAAAGTAGGGGAAATGTTTGATTTTTGCCGATGTTCAAAAGTAAACTAATGACATCATTGTCCAATAAATGTCCAACTAGCCATTCTAATATGCAGTCATGAATGGGTTGATGTTATTTATACAATTATTACAGTATTGGAGTAGTCTGCATAATAGTAAATTTTCTATTTTTTGTTTGAATAAAAATTCAAAATAGAAAGCAAGAGTAATATCAGAGGGGCTTGGAGACATGACTGATGAACAAAGAAAATGTTATTTTAGAGCCAGGAATGTCTGCATTGTTCATTCTGGACCTTATTTTGAAATTGTCATATTTTTTAATTTTCGTGAAATTGGCCAAATTGCAAATTTCTGACCACGTTATTGGGTAGTTGAAATTGGTAAATGGGCAGTTTCTTGTACTCAATCGATAGAGAAAATGGAGTTCTAAAGAAATAGCTATGAGTTTGGTCGATTGAAACAAAGGAATTAGCCGAAAATAGGGCTCAAAGTGGGCGAAATTGCCGATTTGTAAATATCGCCAAGGTCGCGAACTTCGCGAGAGCGTAATTCCGTCAGTTTTCCATCAAATTTAGTTTTTTTGGTGTCATTACAATCGGGAAAAGATTTTCTATCATTTCATAAGAAATTTTTTTTTTTTTTTAAATTTTGCAGCGCCAGGAGACACCTCAGGATTGGGGGTTGCGACAGTCAAGGGGTTAAAATGGTTTCCCTTGCAATAAATGATTGTTGTTTATTGCAACTTCTCTTTGGTGTATGGACTGCATTGCTTTGAAGAATATGAGAAAAAGATGTGCCATGAAAGCTGTTGGGGGTGTAGGGCGAGACAGGAGCACCATGGCTGGCGGCCACTGATACAACCAAGCCACTGAAGTATTGGTTGTAAAATCAACCCATTTGAACCCTTAGTTTCTGAATGCTTAAAGCATTGGTCCTATTGGACAAGTATCTTCACCAGGTGCCAGATCAACCAGGCTGTGATGGATATGTGGGGCAGCGGACCTCCAGCAGCAACAGCCTGGTTGACCAGGCAAGCACCAGACGAGCCTGGCCCATGACCGGGCTCAGAGAGTAGATTAACTTTTGAGTCCCTGTCCATTCTGATGTTTGATTTTTGTAAATTGTCAAACAACACTCCCCACTATACCACAGAGTTTACTTTGTGTCAAGTTTGATGGTGGAGGGGGGGGGGGAGGTACTGTTCCCACAGACTAGGCCTCCTGGTTGGTGGCTTGATCAACCATGCTGTTGGTGCCAGCCACACAGTCTAGCATATGCACTACAACCCGGGAACTTTGTTGGTACAGTAATTACCTTTACGTACAAAGAGTGGGCCGACAAGTTAAGGTTCCCCTCACACTTTTTGAGCTTTCTCTTAGTGGACTTGTGCCCTTGCTTTTCATTAGACTGTATGTAGTTTAGGTGCGAGTAACAATGGTTAGATGAGCAAGAGAATCTTATAATATGAAGATGGGATTTTATTTTGGTATAGAATATAAGAAGTTTAGATTAGGGCAGATATTTTTTTTTTATTATATATGAAAGAGTTGGGAAAAGAAAGTTTCAAAGCATCTTTTGCCTATAGAATAAATAGTAGTTTCATTAGGAGTGGAAATGGCTGCAGATATAATACTAATATAGAGGATGTGAGTTGAGTTGCTAATTTTCTGTTCATCCTGCATCCCTGTAAAACGAGAAAAATTAATATTGCACAGAATGTAATTGTTGCCAAACTAGTTCGGACAATTATAAAAGTAATCTCAGCAAGCGACTTATACTGTACCCTGTACATCATTTCCTTGGGACCAGACCAAGGAGGTATTGACCCTGAGAGCTTTCTTCAGATATCCTTCCTAGAAAAATTTATTTCATCCTAAAATGGAATCAAATTAGTTTCCACTCAAAATATAAAATTGTTATTAAACCTATGTTACTTACCATTCTTACTTCTTTCACCTTATATTTCTCTCCACTATTCTGCAGGTTTCCATTATTTTAATGACTCCACACTAACTAGTAGCATAATCTAATTTGTAATTAAACTAATGTATACAAATCATTGATATATTACGTAGTCTATAAAAATGGAATTAAACCTAGGTTCTGCATAAAGTATAAATCATACAATTATTTATGATTAAGCCAAAATGTATATAAGTCATTTACAGTGGTCCCTTGAGTTAGGATAATTTTGAGTTTTGATTTGCCCTCAGAGGAATATAGAAAAATTTGAGATGCAATATGTTTAAAGTGGTCAGCTTGCATGGGTGGGCCTCGGTCAACCAGTGATGCATTAGCTTGCCTCTTGGGCAGTGTCTGAGCCAATAGGTGCATCAGTTAGGGTGGCTTAGCAGCCCATAAGTGATGGGAACAAATGTCTCTGGAGTAGCATTTTATCCACTAACAGCATTTATACTACAGTTTGTTTCCTCTTACATTTGAAGCTACCACTTGTTGCCCATACCAATTCTGGATTATTTATCCTTTGTAACTGCATTTGTGATTGAACTCCACTATCTTTTGTGTTATTGGTCATCATGGCTCCTAAAGTGTGCAGTAAACAGGCAGTTTCTCTGAAGATTAGCAAGAAATTGTGAAAAACAAGATAGGAATTAGAATTAGTGCATTGGTGCTTGAGTATGGCTTTCCACAATCAATCATCACTTATTATCAAGCAAAAAGAAATTTTAAAGAATATTGTAGTAGGTGATGCATCTAAGCTAGTGGAAAAAAGGCAGAGAAATTATCAGAGATGGAAAGACTTATTGTGGATAAAAGCAGCAGATGAAGGGAGATACAGTGCTTGCAAGTTATATCTGAGTGTGCTAGACAAATTTATGATGATTTTAAAAACACCATTCACTCTAAAGTAGTAATTCTACTTTGTGATGATTATAAAGCTAGCAAAGGGTGATTCGAGGGTTTAAAGGAGAGGAATGTTATTAAGTGTTGAGTTGGGTGAGGCTTCCATTGCTGATAAGGTTCTGAATCTTTTCTGCTTAAGATTGAACAGCTTCTTATGCCAGAGGGTTGTCTTCCTCAAGTGTTTAATGTGGACAAGACAACTATAGTGTAAAGCTAACTGTAGTGTAAAGCACCCTTCTGGCAAGACAGTGATGGAGTGAATGATGGTGAAAGTTTTTCTTTTCCGGGCCACCCTGCCTTGGTGGGAATCGGCCAGTGTGTTAATAATAAAAAAAAAAAGAAGACAAAGCTCTTTTGGAAAAGAATGCCTGGGCAAATATTTGTCACAAAGGAGAAGGCCACTTTGCTTGGCCATAAGCCTATGAATGATAGGCTTATTCTGCTGTATGGTGTCAGTGCCTCTGGAGATTTCAATGCGAGGCCTGTGCTTGTTCACTAGAAAACCTCAGTGCTTAAACAACAAAAAGTATCTAAGGACAGGTTGGGTGTGTTCTGGCATTGCAACAAAAAGGTCAGACACTGAAAAAACTGAACTCACTTCATGTGTTTTTTTCAAGAGACAGTGGTTGGAAGAAACTGCTATTTCCAACCAGTAACCTTCTTCACCCTCCCCCAACACCAGCTTTTCAAGTTCAAGGTACAGTAAAAGTTACACTTCCAGGGTCTTGGAATACTACAAACCCATGTATTTTGGGGTTTGAGGTACAATACATCTTATGGAATGGATTAATTTTATAGCTCAAGGGACCACTGTATTACCCATGTTATATAGGTTAGACAGTACACACTCCAACATTAGTGAATTATTGAAGTCTACAATAAATGGTCATTGTTTAAGTATGGTAGTTTATAGGATCTTAATATGGGTCATCAATGTTTTATCCACTTAATTGCACTTTACTGGGTAATGAATTCTGTTATCACAATTTTTTCATATTATATGCTGTTGGCTAGTTAGGCAAGTCACAGTAATGTTACTACCAGACAAGCTGGTACTCATTCATTTACCCTCCCGAAGGGAGGATGAACAGCTGCGTGAAGTGAGTGCCTGCTGCCCGCAACGGGGATTGAGCTCTGGCCAGTAGATTAGCAGTCAGCAACGCTAACCATTGTGCCACCAAGGCATGGATACTGAGAGATATCCAAGATAAGTCTGAAAGGTATACAGATGGCAGATGCTCTACAGAATATAATGGAAATGTTATGAATGGAAGTGTAGTATAGTCTGATGAAAGGTTTAATTCACCCAGCTTTTATTACAGTATAAGTGAAGTATGGGTGTATAATAATACATGAAGCATACAAGAAATGTATTTGGATGTGGTTTGGTGAGGTGTTCTTAAGTAATAGAAGTTGTGCAAGGATGGGTATGCAAGGATGAGAGACCACAAGAATTATGATGGTTTATGAAAAATGGTGCATCCAATACAGTTGATTCTGTTCATAAGCAAGTCTTATACCTGCATCTCTCCTTTAACCCTTTCACTGGCACCCACATAGATCTATGTTATTGCTGCCAGTGTCACTCACGTAGATACGTGTTTTAAGCAGAGCACTCTCAATGCTGTGAGCAGTAAATTATTGCCCAGACATGAGAGAATGGGTCTGTGTGCTTGGGTGTGCACAATATAAGGAAAAATCCTGCCTCATTTAGTGCATAATGAGGAAAGGAAACCTCTGATCTTGTGTTTGTTTAAGTAGCAGCTTAGAAGTTTTTTCTAGGGTAGATTTTATGGTTTTACAGGTGCTCCTCAACTTACGATGGGGTTACATTCTGAAATGCCCATCATAAGTCAAAAATATCATCAGTCTGGTATGAAAATGATATGCCAAATAAATAACTACTGTCACTGAATAAGTAAATAAATAATTACTGCAACTAATGGCTTTTGCACCATTGTAAAGTTGAAATATTGTAAGTCAAATCATCGTAAGTCGAGGATCAACTCCATTGGCTATTTCTTGGTATCATTTTATAGAATGGAAGATACACTAGTGAAGTAGAAATGAATTTGGTCAGTTGTAGGCTGGAAGCTGCTTGACATAGGCCTCAAAGTGGCACAAATATTAGATTTTTGGTGGTCCTGAGAAAGGGTGGGGCGCCCATTCTACTTTATGGGTTTTTACTAAGTCTGCTATAATTATTTGGATGGCCTAAATCATGACTATCATTCTTAGTTGTATTTTATTTTCTGAGAAATAGACTAAACCTTCAATTTTTTTTCTTTGGCACGATGATGAGTTCAATATGGAGGGCAAGTGTTATGTAGGAAAGACCTGAGAATGTAATTAATGAACAGAGGAAAGGTGGCTTTAGTGGCTTGAATGCTTAGTGTTTATTTTGAACTCTTTAAATTGGAATTTGTTGAATTTTGTGTAAAATTATCCAAGTTACTGAATTCTGGGCTCTTAATAGGTTAATTCTGATGTGCAGTTTCTTGTTCTTAATCACTAGATCAGAAGGCATACTAGTGAAATAGTTAGGAATTAGGTCCAGTAGAATTGGCTTAAAATAGGACTCTAAAGTGGTGTGTAAATTCCACCCAAACTGCCAAATTAGTGCCTGCGCAATTTTGTAAATTTTAAGTCAAATTAAGAATTTTTGGTATCATTATCTTCAGAAAAAGATTTTCTACCATTTCAGAACACAAAATTATTATTATCTTTGGGGGGAAATCGTGATACTGTTAACAGTTTGGGGAAGGGGGATGGTGTTTCGACAGTGAAAGGGTTAAATTCCCTCTTCATCCTCTATTTGTCACCTTTTCATTTATTCACCTCCTTTGATCATCAGCTGAATGTTTTACAGTTGTTACCATTTTAATCAGTACCTGAGTAATTACATTGATATAGCATTTACAACATTCCAGAGTTTCACTTGCATTGTCTGAACATATTTATAACCGGTTTCTTACTCTCCATTCTTTTTAGCTTCCCAGTTTCTCTACTGTTTGGACTTTGTTAGCTTTGTATCTTACCTCTTATCTGTACCCCATTTTCCGTTAGCAGTCAAGTGGGTGAATCAAGAGCTATGGTAGATTTAAGAGAATTTTCCCCTAATATAACATTCATATGCTTTATTATACATAAATTTTAGGTATAGTTTACTAGTAACTGTACACGCTCATTTCCTAATGATTTTTCACATGAAATTTTTTCTTTGTATTTTACAGGGTGGGTCCTTGCTGCTCTGTGATCAGTGTCCTGCCGCTTTTCATGCAGATTGCATGAAAATAACTACTCCAGAGGGGGGTTATGTCTGTGAAGATTGTGAAAATGGAAAGTTCCCCATCTATGGTGACATTGTATGGGTAAAACTTGGATTATACAGGTTTGTAAATTGCTCTTAGCCTTTGAATGACTGGATATCTTCATGACAAACTTTAGGTTTTTGTGAGACCTCCAAGTTCTCACTAAAAGTTATTTGTTGTCAGCTGGAAGAGGAAGCAGTTTGCTAGTGAGATATGCTTGTGACACAGCATTAAGTTTGTGTGTATGTGTACATACAATATGTCAGTCCCATCTTGGGGTGTGCAGCACCAGTATGGAACCTGCATCTGAAAAATCATGTTAAGAAACTGGAGAAAGTGCAATGGTATTCAAGAAGGCTTGTCCCGGAGCTAAGAGATGTGAGCTACTAAAAAGGCTAGCAGAATTTAATCTATTGACATTGGAGGCCAGGAGAGAGAATCTTTCTTCTTTCAACTTGCCGGGTGTGTCCCACCAAGGTGGGGTAGCCCAAAAGAAAAAACGAAAGTTTCTCTTACATTTAGTATTCTGTACAGTAGAACGGGTTACTAGCCCCCTTGCTCCTAGCATTTTAGTTGCCTCTTATGACACGCATGGCTTACGGAGGAAGAATTCTGTTCCACTTTCTCATGGAGATAAGTGGAAATAAACAAGAACTAGTAAGAAAAATAGATGAAAACCCAGAAGGGTGTGTATATATATGCTTGTACAGGCATGTGTAGTACGGCCTTAATGTAAGTAGAAGTAGCAAGACGTACCTGAAATCTTGCATGTTTATGATAAAAAAAGACACCAGCAATTGTACCATCATGTAAAACAATTATAGGCTTTAATTTTACACTCGCTTGGGAGGACGGTAGTACCTCCCTGGGTGGTTGCTGTCTACCAACCAACTACCTAGGAGAGACATGGTGACAACATAAAATAATGTACTCAAGAGAAAGTGATAGGGTAGAAAGGAACAGGCTGTTTGAGAGGCAAGAAACAGGTGCTTGGGAACACAGCTTGAAGTTAGACACAGATGAGCCACAGGGATGTCAGGAAGTATTTCTTCAGCCTTAGAGTGGTTGGGAAATATATTGATCTTGATGAATAAGTGGTGGGGGTAGGCTCTATACATAGTTTTAAGAACAGGTGCAATAGGGCCCACTTGGCTAGGAGGGAGTGAATCTTCATGTTGCAGTTGGGACCAGGAGCTGAGACTCAATTCCATCAAGCACAAATAGGCGAGGACAGCAGTTGAGTATATGATAGTGAATGTTTTTTCTTATTTGAGTTGACCTACCTTTGATAGTTAGCCAGTGTGTTAAAAAATCTTTTTCTTCTCTATATCTGATACTTGCACATGCCTTTTTCTACATTTAAATTTTAGTATATATTTTCCATCATAACCATATGTTATTCTCATTTCCATATCTTTGGTTGACTATATATCAGCTTCAAATGTTCTCTGCATTTCTAATTTAAATAGATTATAACATTAATTATTTGTTATAGTTTATTGGAAAAGGTGTTCTTTTGACATTAAAAGGAATGATTGACACTACAGGATATGAATCACAGAATGAGTGGGGGCTGAAATCCATGGCAGGCAAGTCCTAAAACCTGCAGGCCTGCAAGTTTTAGGACTTGCTTGCAGTCATGTTATTAAAATTTCATGAGTTATGAAACAGGATATGTTTGAGAGACTAGTGTGATGTATGACCTAGTGTGCCAGCTCTGATGGTTGAAGAATCCTTAAAAGAAGTCATGTATACATTCTTGAGGGTAAACCTGATTAAAATATAAATTCTATTACTGTATTTGAGTGATTGTTATTTTCTTCATTAAGAATTAAAGTTTTAACTGCATAAAATATACCAAAAGGTTCGACTACTAACTACAAAATCAAATTGATACTGGACAGATGGTGGCCTGGTCAAGTGTTGCATCCCAGATACATCCCAGACAACATTGAGAACTTGCAACACCAGCAAGGCATGTTCTGTGTTCATTTCTTTGGTTCCAATGACTATTACTGGGTTACCAGAGGACGAGCTTTCCTCTACCAGGAAGGGGTGAGCAATAATTTTTTTTTCTCCTGTAATTTGTCTTATTTATAATTAAAGAATTCTTGTAAATCTTTAAAAATAATAAAAATTTGTTTTTATAAACAAATGTACGTTAATAGTTGCTTAAAATTTATAATTTGGTTCTTTACTGTTACTGTATATACAGCTGTCTAGCAGTAGCCGTGTTACTCAAAAAAAATTTCTTTGCAAAAATGTTAGTGCATACATTTGTGATATTTTTTCAATGAAGTCTAGTATTTTTAATATATGTACAGTGGTACCCCGAGTTTCAAACTGCTCCGAACTTAACCAATTATGTAAGTATATTATTGTAAGTGTATTTTTGGGGGTCTGAAACAGACTAATCTAATTTACATTATTCCTTATGGGAACAAATTCGTTCAGTAATGGCACTTGAGCGGCCTTCTGGAAAGAAGACAGTTCGAAACTCAGGGTACCACTGTAAATGTTTTATCTAGTTATTGTTATTTGACTTCCATAGTCTTATATCTATCTACACATTTACGAGCCTGGCCCATGGCCGGGATCAGAGAGTAGAGAAACTCTCAAAACTCTTCAAAGGTATATCATTGTATTATGCTGTTGACTATTGCCATCTTGCCATACTTTTTTCCTATTAGCCTCTTTGATTCATTTTTACCTATTTTTTTTTTCATGTAGGATGTCAAATAGTGTAAAAAAAAAAAATTGTTTTATCAGGTTTTCTTTCTGCGGAGTTTAACCCTTTGAGGGTCGACAGGCCCTCTCCGAGACTTGTTCTCAGGGTCAGCCAAATTTGAAAAAAAAAAAAAATATTTTTTCTTATGTAAAGATAGAGAATCTTTTCCCGATCATAATGACACCAAAAGTATGAAATTTGATGGAAAACTTAGGGAATTATGCTCTCGTGAAGTTAGCGGTCTCGACTATGTTTACGCATCGGCGATTTTGCCCATTTTTGGGGAGCCCTTTTTTGGGCCAGTTCCAGTGTATAGTCGAAAAAAAATCATAATTTTTTTCTTTTAGAACTCCCATTTTTTCTATTGAATGAGTACAAGAAACCACCCATTTCTGTTTTCAACTATCCAAAACAGTGGTCAAATTTAGAAATTTTCCCAAATTTCACAAAAAATTTTCAAAATTTGCCAATTTCCAAAAAGGGTCCAGAATAAACAAAAAAGGGACTTTCCCTGGCCCCTAAAAAAAACATTTCCTCTGTTCGTTATCACACCCCCCGGGGCCCCTCTTTATTTTTTTGGTTTTTCCACTTTAAATTTTTAAAAAATTTCTTAAAAAAAAATAGAAGATTTGCGGTTTTGCAGACTGTTTGAAATTAGTGTAAAAAGGGTTATAAATAATATCATTTGCACTTGTGACAGTATTTTGTTGGATTATTTTTTGGTAGATAAAAGACTTTTAAGGGACTTAAAAGGATGTAAAAATTTTTAAAAAGGGGGGGCCAAAGTGAATATACCCGATCATTTTCCAAGTTGTAGCTAACTGAGAGTTAAAGGTAGATGGGATAAAAGGGAAAATTAAAGCATCAGGGAAGAGAGAGGGAAGGGTTTAAAAAAAAAAAGGGAGGCGGGTTGGGGGTAAAGAAAAAAACGGGCCTATTGGGGAAAATAAGGGGCTTATGAGAGCATGGGCAAGGGGGGTCAAGAGGTAGGGGGTTGGTTTTAAAAAATTTTGTTTTTAGAGTTTTTCAGCAGAAGTTTGGGGTTACGGGAAAAGGGGGGGGGGAGGGAAGGGGAGGGCGTTTGGGGAAGGGATAAATGTAAAGGAGAGTAGAAAAGGGAGAAAAAGTTATTAAATAAAGAAGTTTTTAAAAAGTAAAAGGGTGATGCAAGGGGGGAAGAGTATATGGAGAAAAAAAAAGGGGTTTTAAAGAGAGGTGAAAGAAATGAAAAAAAGAGAGAAAATGAGAGGGGGTTTAGATTTTAACAAAAATTTTTTTGAAATAAGAAAAAAGTTTTGGTGGAGTTAAAAATTTAAAAAAAGCCTAGAGAACAAATGGATTTGTCAGTTTAAAAATAGGAGAGGAGAGTTATTAAATGGAGAGTTAGAGGTATCGGGAAGATGGAGGGAATATTTTGAGGAATTGTTAAATGTTGATGAAGATAGGGAAGCTGTGATTTCGTGTATAGGGCAAGGAGGAACAACATCTTGTAGGAGTGAGGAAGAGCCAGTTTGTGAGTGTGGGGGAAGTTCGTGAGGCAGTAGGTAAAATGAAAGGGGGTAAGGCAGCCGGGATTGATGGGATAAAGATAGAAACGTTAAAAGCAGGTGGGGATATAGTTTTTGGAGTGGTTGGTGCAATTATTTAATAAATGTATGGAAGGGTAAGGTACCTAGGGATTGGCAGAGAGCATGCATAGTTCCTTTGTATAAAGGCAAAGGGGATAAAAGAGAGTGCAAAAATTATAGGGGGATAAGTCTGTTGAGTATACCTGGCAAAGTGTATGGTAGAGTTATTATTGAAAGAATTAAGAGTAAGACGGAGAATAGGATAGCAGATGAACAAGAGGCTTTAGGAAAGGTAGGGGGTGTGTGGACCAGGTGTTTACAGTGAAACATATAAGTGAACAGTATTTAGATAGGCTAAAGAGGTCTTTGTGGCATTTATGGATTTGGAAACGGCGTTTGACAGGGTGGATAGGGGGGCAATGTGGCAGATGTTGCAGGTGAATGGTGTAGGAGGTAGGTTACTGAAGGCAGTGAAGAGTTTTTACGAGGATAGTGATGGCTCAAGTTAGAGTATGTAGGAAAGAGGGAAAATTATATTCCCAGTAAAAGTGGGGCCTTAGACAAGGATGTGTTTATGTCACCGTGGTTGTTTAATATATTTATAGATGGGGTTGTAAGGGAAGTAAATGCGAGGGTCTTGGCAAGAGGCGTGGAGTTAAAAGATAAAAAAATTACACATAAAGTGGGAGTTGTCACAGTTGCTCTTGCTGAGACACTGGCTCTTGGGAGATTCTGAAGAGAAGTTGCAGAGATTGGGGGATGAATTTGGTAGGGTGTTGCAAAAGAAGAAAATTGAAAGGGGAATACAGGAAAGAGTAAGGTTTTTGAGGATAACAAAAAGATTAGGTGATGAAAGATTGGATATCGATTGGAGGGAGAGAGTATGGAGGAGGTGAATGTATTCAGATATTTGGGAGTGGACGTGCCCAGCGGATGGGTCTATAAAAGATGAGGTGAATCATAGAATTGATGAGGGGGAAAAGGGTGGGGTGGGTGCACTTAGGAGTCTGTGGAGACAAAGAACTTTGTCCTTGGAGGCAAAGAGGGGAAAATGTATGAGAGTATAGTTTTACCAACGCTCTTATATGGGTGTGAAGCATGGGTGATGAATGTTGCAGCGAGGAGAAGGCTGGAGGCAGTGGAGATGTCATGTCTGAGAGCAATGTGTGGTGTGAATATATGCAGAGAATTCGTTTTTGGAAGTTAGGAGGAGGTGCGGGATTACCAAAACTGTTGTCCAGAGGGCTGAGGAAGGGTTGTTGGAGGTGGTTCGGGGCATTGGAGAGAATGGAGCGAAACAGAATAACTTCAAGGGGTGTATCAGTCCCGTAGTGGAAGGGAAGGGGGGGTAGGGGTCGGCCTAGGAAAGGTTGGAGGGAGGAGGTTAAGGAGGTTTTTTGTGCGAGGGGCTTGGACTTCCAGCAGGCATGCGTGAGCGTGTTTTATGGAGTGGGAAAGGAGACAAATGGTTTTTAATACTTGACGTGCTGTTGGAGTGTGAGCAAAGTAACATTTATGAAGGGGTTCAGGGAAACCGGCAGGCCGGACTTGAGTCCTGGAGATGGGAAGTACAGTGCCTGCACTCTGAAGGAGGGGTGTTAATGTTGCAGTTTAAAAACTGAAGTGTAAAGCACCCTTCTGGCAAGACAGTGATGGAGTGAGTGATGGTGAAAGTTTTTCTTTTTCGGGCCACCCTGCCTTGGTGGGAATCGGCCAGTGTGATAAAAAAAAAAAAAAAATTGTGAAAGAATATTAGACTTACCAGTTGACGTGTGTTGGACGCTTGGCATGATTTGTTTACTTTTGAACTTTAGTAAAAATCGAACATTTCTGCTATTTTGAGCTCAATTTCAAGGTACTTTTCATTGTAAAACCAGTCAAAATCATCTCAATTTCTGTAATATGTCTTCTATTCTATAAAATGAGACCAAGAAAACTAGAATACAACAATAAATACCATCTGAGCTTGCTACCATCTGCAGCTCATAAGACTGCCATCCCCACGAGCCCCTTTGAGGCGGGGTAGATGGCAGACCAGAGGCCTAGCTTCTTCCTACGAGCCCCGTGAGGGCGGGGAATGTGGCTAGGCCTGGGGACACTTGGTCCCAAAGATGAGGAGGTACTTGTACCTCCTCCCATGGGAGACTTAAGTCTCGAGACACTCCCCAGATAGGGAGCCAAGGCCGGGTCACCACTACTTGGAAAAGACCCGGGCCGGGAGAATACCGGCGAATAAAAAAAAAAAATACCATACGAAAATACAGTGCAAAGTCGCTGTTTTATTCCAAAAACACGGTCAAAATTTTTTTTTTCTCATACACTGTGTGCTGCAGGATTTTTTTTGTACTGCACACACTGACCACATAGACCCATTCTTTCATATGTATGCCTACCAGCTTTCTCCCACTAGATTTGAGGGCGCTAGAATTTAGGCATACTTGTACGTCAAAAACCCTGGGTCGTAAGCCGTACTAGTACGGCCGAAACCCTCAAAGGGTTAAGAAAATGAGACAGGATGCTTGTACAGTATCTGTTAATGGTTCTGGGGATTGTCAGTCCCACGGCCTGGTCTCACAGGTAGTTCCATATTGTTCACTAGATCAAGCTGTCAGTAAAGAATATCTAGGTTCTGAATGCCACTTATAGATTAGCAAGTTTAGTCTGTGCTGCTGATGGCTCAGTATCCTGTTTATACGTGTTTCAGGAAATATTTGTGGCAATGACTTTTTTTCTAATCACTATTTCTGTAATTCTTTTTCTGCCTCATATGATCGTATTATACTTACTTTTCTGAGCCCCAGTAAGGATCATTGTGAGCTTCACATTGTTGAAGACCCTTTACCACTGCTCACTTGTGGATGTTTGTTTGTTACACTTGACACTCACTGAGAGTCTGGCAAAGCCCCAAGGCAAATTCATCCTTGCTCTGTAATCTTAACACCGATTTCATCCCTTCCTATGGACATATTCTCAACAGGCTCAATTTTGCCTGGCCTCTCAGCGTTCTGCTACTGTCTTCAGGATTTATAGCAATGCTTACTGTAATTTATGATCCTTGTTCAGGATCGCTGTTCTCTAGCTCAACAGTTGTGATGGCCATACAGCCTCCCCTGACTGCTCTCGGCCCACGCAGGTTGGCTCCTTCATGAACATGCTTGCTTCTATGTGGTTGCAGGGGTAGAGTTCTAGATCCTGGCCCTGCTTTTTGTCATTTGCCAAAATCACTTTCCTCTAGCCCTGTGGGCTCTGTCATACCTGTTCTTAAACTGTGTATGGAACCTACTTCCACTTTTTTTTTTTTTTCCTTGCACTTCCTGACATGCCTATGGCCCATCTGTCTTAACTTTCAGTTGTGCTCCCAAGTACCTGTTACCATCCTTTCAAATAACCAATCTCTGTCAACCCTATCACTTCCTACAGGTGACTCTTCTGCCCTCCACTGTCATTAAATGTGGTTCTGGAACTAGTCTTGTTGTATACCTCTGCACACATTCCAGTTTTTAAACTGGCTTTCTCAGGTGTGGGTTCCATGCCGGTGCTATGTACTTCAAGATGGGTCCTCATTTATTGACTGTTGTAAGATGGAAACATAAACACATATGCAGTTTAACCCTTTGAGGGTCGACAGGCCCTCTCCGAAACTCGTTCTCAGGGTCGGCCAAATTTAAAAAAAAAAAAAAAAATTATTTTCTCTTATGAAAAGATAGAGAATCTTTTCCCGATCATAAAGACACCAAAAGTTTGAAATTTGATAGAAAACTTACAGAATTATGCTCTCGCAAAGTTAGCGGTCTCGGCGATGTTTACTGATCGGCGATTTTGCCCACTTTGAGCCCCATTTTCGGCCAATTTCACTGTACTAGTCGACAAAAAACATGAATATTTCGCTAGAACTCCATTTTTTCTATCGAATGGGTACAAGAAACCACTCATTTATGAAATTCAACTATCCAGTACAGTGGTCAGAATTTAGCAATTTTGCCAATTTCACACAAATTTCAAAAGATGCCAATTTCCGAATAGGGTCCAGAATAAACAAGAAAGACATTCCTGGCACTAAAATGACATTTCCTCTGGTCATTAGTCACGTCTCAAGGCCCCTCTTATATTCTTTTGCTTTCCACTTTGAATTTTTATTCTCACAAAAAATAGAAGATTTACTGTTATGCAGACTACTGCATTAGTGTAAGAAATGGTATAAATATTATTGGTGCACTTGTGAAAGAATATTAGACTCACCAGTTGACGTGTATTACACGCTTGGCACGATTTGTTTACTTTTGAAGTTTGGTAAAAATCGAACATTTCTGCTACTTTGAGCTCAATTTCAAGGCACTTTTCTTTGTAAAACCAGTCAAAATCGTCTCAATTTCTGTAATATGTCTTCCATTTTATAAAATGAGACCAAGAAAACTAGAATACAACAATAAATACCATACGAAAATACACTGCAAAGTCGCTGATTTATTAAAAAAAATGGTAAAAGTTTTTTTTTTCTCATTATGCACTGTGTGCTGCAGGATTTTTTTTAGACTGTGCACACTGACCACATAGACCCATTCTTTCATATGAAGGCCTACCAGCTTTCTCCCACTAGATTTGAGGCCGCTAGAATTTATGAGTACTAGTACGTCAAAAACCCCTACGCGTAAGACGTACTAGTACGACGAAAACCCTCAAAGGGTTAATGTGATCCTTTATTGACAACGTTTCACCCACACAGTGGGCTTTTTCAAGTCACACACAGATCTACCTGGGGTGGAAGGTACGGGAGTATTTATAGTCAGGTTGTCAATAAAGGATCACATTAAACTGCATGTGTGTGTGTGGCCACTGCTATGCCTACTGGCTTCTGCTTCCTTGGTCTGGCACTTGAGCTTGAAAGTGCCCCAGTGTTTTCTGCTAGGAGCCTTGTAGCAACATCCTTTACTTCCCTGTATTTAAATACCTTTTATTCCTTTAGCATTTCATTTCTTATTTAGGAGGCTTTGTGTGAGAGTACACCATGGGACAATGATCCCAGAATGATTAACAGATATACAAGAGATACAGAAGTCTCCATGGAACTGTATGTTAGTAGAGATGCTGTCTCTTGGTTGCTAACCCTCTGCACAAAACCATTTACTTTATTCTTCACTAGCTGACCGATTGTAGAGGCTTAAGGCTTAGTGCCTTAAGGGCTTTGTGTAGATGAAGCTTTGACAAGGAAATAATTATTTTCCATATTATTCCTAATTCACTGTGTAATTGCTTATTGTCATCCCTTAAGGACTTTATGTATATAGTACCTGTTCAAATGGTAAGACAAAATATCATTAAGACAATTAGCAAATGAGAAGTTAATTTATTTGCAGTAGTGCAAAATTAAGGTATGATGGTAATACTGGATGTATTGTACATAACATACAAAACGTAGAATGAAAATAAAGAAAATTGAAACATTAGTTTTAAATAAATATTTAATCATCACTCATGGCATGAATCATACTCTGTATCCTATTTTGGTGTGTACACTAGTCTTGTTCTATAGTTGTCATGTAATATCTTGATTGAAAGTGTTAAAATAATAAATTTAAGTTTTAGTTTGTAAATGCTCTATTGTCAACAGGATAAAGGATCCAGGGCACAATCAAGTAAAACTTTAGAAATGCAGTTTCGGAAAGCTCTTGAGGAAGCGGCAGAGGCATACAGAGCTCAGATGGCTAAGAAAACTCAGCTTGAAATTCGATGGTCTGAGAAGGGGAACTTAGTAAGTTTGTTAAAGATTTAAGATCATCAATAAGACTTGGTATATTAGTGCTTTTTAAATACTTGAACCAAACTCAAGTCCTTGGTACAGTGCCTACACTCTGAATGAGGGCGAGGATGACTCACGTAATCGTAATGACATGATTGCAAACAAACCATACCACCGGCGGGGTTAGAACCCGCGATCAGATACTCTGAACATGGGTTCTAACCCCGCCCATGGTGTGGTTTGGTAGGGTGGGGATGTTGCAGTCTGGAGGGGTCATCTGAACTGTAATATCAGTGTACTCCTGACAAGACTGACTGAATGAGTGAAAGTATTTACTTCTTTGTTGGGTCACCCTACCATGGTAGGAGACAGCCAGACAGTTAGAGGAAACTGTAATGACCTTGCCCCTCCTTCAGAGTGCAGTTGCTGTACAGTATTTCCCACTTCCATAGCTCATGTCCTGCCTGCCAGTTTACCTGTATCTCCTCATAAAGGTTTAACTTGATCACTCTCCAGCAGTATGTCAAACTATACAAATTACTTGTCTCCATCACAGTCTATCATGCTCACACAAGTCTGCTGGATGCTGAAGTCTAGCCTTAAAAACTTCCTTTACCTCCTCCCTCCAGCATTTCCTGGGATGATCCCTACCCTTTCTTTGTTCTACCCTAGATTTATGCATCCTCTTGCTTATCTTATACTGCTGTTTCCTGTCTAAATCACTAAACTAACTTGGCAACCCCTCCTCCATTCTCTGAATTATACTTTTGGTAACCTCACACTGCCTTGTAATTTCTGTATTCCAAATTCTTTTGTAATTACACATAATTTGCTCTCAAATATGACTGCCAGCGAGTCTGTTAAATGTTTTCCTTTTTTCACCATTTATGTACTCCACATTCACCTCAACTTCTGTAGATCCATCTGCTAATATGTCCACTCCCAAATACTGTATCTAAAAACTGTACATTCCCTTCCTCTATACTCCCTCAAATCTGAACAACTAGACTTTTTTTTTTTATTATTACTCTCGTCTTTTTTTTTTTTTTTTTTTTTTTTTTTTTTTTTTTTTTGTGGGTGTGTTCAATTTTAATTTCCTTGTTGTGCACACCCTCCAAAGTTCCCCCACTATATCGTGTATTTGTGCACTCTCATTTTCTTAAAATAAATACACTATTACTTATTACTAAACCTTTTTTATAAATGAAGCAATGTAGTTCTGTGGCATTGAAGGTGCCAGATCTGTGACTGCCAAGCTTGAGGATGACAAGTGTCATTTGAGTCGCAGATCTGTGAACTTTACCCCTGAATTATTGCTACAGTACCATGAGTGAGTCATGGTTCTAGGATCCAAGCTTTCTCATAACATTAAAATTTTATGCAAGATGCTTTGCATGCAGGGAACTCTGGGATGCAGGGCAACTACTGTATCATTAGTCACAAATTTGGGAAATTATTTTTTAAATTAATGCAGTGTTTACAGTAACGTTTTCTAAATTGTTTTGCTCTGAGAAAAGTTTTGGTAATGTTTATTGTTATATAGTTATTTAAAATCATTAGTTATTAATTATAATATTTTTGTTTTTATTTTTGTTTTAGAAGCCACCACCATATGTAAGAATTGACTCGAATCGACCTGTAGGGAATGTGCGTTTGAACAAGATTGACCTAGCAGCTGTCAATCGATGCGACTGTGATCCAAACTCTGAAAATCCTTGTGGCTCTGATGAGAAGTGTTTAAACAGGTTTGTGTGATGATATTTGTATTTTTAACTGACATGAATTATATATGAGGAAGGTCTCAGTGAAAAACAGAAATGAACTATTAGTTTCATGTATGAGAGTACAAGCAAGTGAATAGTGACATCACTGTTGCAGCACACATCAGATGCATGAGTTGAGCAAGTATCCTCTGAAAGTCAGATATACATTACCCCTGCAGCCTGATCTCATACTTAAGTTTCTTGTTTACTGGATCTAACCTTCAGTAAAGATTTAATATTGAGAGAGTAAACCGAGTAATTACCTATTTGAATTTGTGTTGGGAGTGGAAGGGGCTCTAGCTGTTGGTCCCATCCCTTAACTATAGAATGACTGATGTTATTTAACTGGCATGAATCCCTTAATAGGCAAATAATGCTTGCTGTGCTTTTTTTTTTCTATGGAGTTGGCTTTCATCTTGTCATTGCTCAGCTCATTCCACTTGTTTACCACTTATATTATTATGTTTTATCTATATAGTGTGATTAGTCAGCAGAATGGGGGATATATAGCTAGTAACTGTTTAAATTGATCAACTTGTGTTTTCACTGAATGCAGGGAGGGGATGTTGCAGTTAGAGGGTGACCTGAATTGTGATGCTAGTACACTTGTGGAAAGAGAGCAGTTGAAGGAAAGATAAATGGATTAGTGGAGTAAAAAAAATAACTAAGAATTGAAGTACCTTGTATCAGCTAATCTACAAAAAGTTTGATGGAATGATAGAAAATATAAACACACTTCTTTTTCTGTATATACTGACAAAGAATAAAATATTATGCACAGAACACAAGAAATGTAAAACTGAAATCACAGAATATTGCACTTAAATAAACTGTAGCACTATTGCAACTAGCAGTTACTAATCAAAAAGTACTGCACAACACAACACTACATTAAAAATTTCTGAAAGAAAAAATTTAAGGGCAGCACAATATTTACACAAGAATCATTGCAAATGAGTCAATACTGCAATAATAAAAAAAAACTGCACACAAAATGCAGTTTACAAAAACAAGACAAAAAAATTATCAAGGACTGAACTGATTGAACACTTTAACTCTTAATTGCAGCTTAAGCAAACACTTACTGAACAAGCAAAAGAATGATTTATTTTAAAAAAAAAAAAAAGTTAAAGATTGCACTAAGAGTGAATTTGTTCAATGAAATATGAAAAATAATAGAGGCATAAAACACAAAACAGAGAAAGGTTAACACTCACAATAAGGCAGGAACACAACACATCAATATATGCACAATACTGTGAGAATTTTCTTGCAATGAGGCTTGGGGTGACAAAAATTGGAAAATAATTCTCTTGCTTCAAACAAAATAATGGCACTATTGTCTGTGGAGATAAGACAAATTAGACACTGGCTAAATGAAAAGAATTAACACAAGAATGTTCAACACACAGAAAAAAAATGGCAAATGAATGAATAAAAAAAGCAGCAAGGACACAAATGCTGGGAGAAAAAAGAAATAACTGAGACAATACAGTGGACCCCCGCATAACGATTACCTCCGAATGCGACCAATTATGTAAGTGCGTTTGTACGTGTATGTTTGGGGGTCTGAAATGGACTAATCTACTTCACAATATTCCTTATGGGAATAAATTCAGTCAGTACTGGCACCTGAACATACTTCTGGAGTGAAAAAATATCGTTAACCGGGGGTCCACTGTACTGAGTTGTGATGCAGAATATAAGATAAGTTACTGAATTACTTCACTGCATAAATTACTACGCAAGGAACACAATACTGTGAACACAAGATAATCTATGAAGTGTAAACACAAGTTTATACTGCTTATATAGTGCACACAACAGGGAAAAATGTTAAAGTATGTACTTACTTCATGTATAAAAAAAAAAGATTACAACACAACAGACAAAAATAAAGCACAAAAATTTAAACACAAGAAAAAAAAAATATTGCAAACATAATGTAATGAACACAGTCTGATCAAGAGTCACTGAATGTTACTAAGAAATCACTGAAAAAAAAATTGTCTCAACACTCGCAAATGTTTCTATAAAAATTTTTTTTTTTTTTTTTTTTTTTTTTTTTTCAACAAGTCGGCCGTCTCCCACCGAGGCAGGGTGACCCAAAAAAGAAAGAAAATCCCCAAAAAGAAAATACTTTCATCATCATTCAACACTTTCACCACACTCGCACATTATCACTGTTTTTGCAGAGGTGCTCAGAATACAACAGTCTAGAAGCATAAACATATAAAGATACACAACATATCCCTCCAAACTGCCAATATCCCAAACCCCTCCTTTAAAGTGCAGGCATTGTACTTCCCATTTCCAGGACTCAAGTCCGACTATATGAAAATAACCGGTTTCCCTGAATCCCTTCACTAAATATTACCCTGCTCACACTCCAACAGATCGTCAGGTCCCAAGTACCATTCGTCTCCATTCACTCCTATCTAACACGCTCACGCACGCTTGCTGGAAGTCCAAGCCCCTTACCCACAAAACCTCCTTTACCCCCTCTCTCCAACCCTTTCGAGGACGACCCCTACCCCGCCTTCCTTCCCCTATAGATTTATATGCTTTCCATGTCATTCTACTGTGATCCATTCTCTCTAAATGACCAAACCACCTCAACAACCCTCCTTCTGCCCTCTGACTAATACTTTTATTAACTCCAACACCTTCTCCTAATTTCCACACTCCGAATTTTCTGCATAATATTTACACCACACATTGCCCTTAAACAGGACATCTCCGCTGCCTCCAACCGTCTCCTCGCTGCTGCATTTACCACCCAAGCTTCACACCCATATAAGAGTGTTGGTACTACTATACTTTCATACATTCCCTTCTTTGCCTCCATAGATAACGTTTTTTGACTCCACATATACCTCAACGCACCACTCACCTTTTTTCCCTCATCAATTCTATGATTAACCTCATCCTTCATAAATCCATCCGCCGACACGTCAACTCCCAAGTATCTGAAAACATTCACTTCTTCCATACTCCTCCCTCCCCAATTTGATATCCAATTTTTCTTTATCTAAATCATTTGACACCCTCATCACCTTACTCTTTTCTATGTTCACTTTCAACTTTCTACCTTTACACACATTCCCAAACTCATCCACTAACCTTTGCAATTTTTCTTTAGAATCTCCCATAAGCACAGTATCATCAGCAAAAAGTAACTGTGTCAATTCCCATTTTGAATTTGATTCCCCATAATTTAATCCCACCCCTCTCCCAAACACCCTAGCATTTACTTCCTTTACAACCCCATCTATAAATATATTAAACAACCATGGTGACATTACACATCCCTGTCTAAGACCTACTTTTACCGGGAAGTAGTCTCCCTCTCTTCTACACACCCTAACCTGAGCCTCACTATCCTCATAAAAACTCTTTACAGCATTTAATAACTTACCACCTATTCCATATACTTGCAACATCTGCCACATTGCTCCTCTATCCACTCTATCATATGCCTTTTCTAAATCCATAAATGCAATAAAAACTTCCCTATCTTTATCTAAATACTGTTCACATATATGCTTCAATGTAAACACCTGATCTACACATCCCCTACCCACTCTAAAACCTCCTTGCTCATCCGCAATCCTACATTCTGTCTTACCTCTAATTCTTTCAATTATAACCCTACCGTACACTTTTCCTGGTATACTCAGTAAGCTTATTCCTCTATAATTTTTACAGTCTCTTTTGTCCCCTTTCCCTTTATATAAAGGGACTATACATGCTCTCTGCCAATCCCTAGGTACCTTCCCCTCTTTCATACATTTATTAAACAAAAGTACCAACCACTCCAACACTATATCCCCCCCTGCTTTTAACATTTCTGTCATGATCCCATCAGTTCCAGCTGCTTACCCCCTTTCATTTTACGTAATGCCTCACGTACCTCCCCCACACTTACATTCTGCTCTTCTTCACTCCTAAAAGATGGTATACCTCCCTGACCAGTGCATGAAATTACTGCCTCCCTTTCTTCCTTAACATTTAAAAGTTCCTCAAAATATTCTCGCCATCTACCCAATACCTCCATCTCCCCATCTACTAACTCCCCTACTCTGTTTTTAACTGACAAATCCATATTTTCCCTAGGCTTTCTTAACTTGTTTAACTCACTCCAAAATTTTTTCTTATTTTCATTAAAATTTCTTGACAGTGCCTCTCCCACTCTATCATCTGCTCTCCTTTTGCACTCTCTCACCACTCTCTTTACCTTTCTTTTACTCTCCATATACTCTGCTCTTCTTATAACACTTCTGCTTTGTAAAAACCTCTCATAAGCTACCTTTTTCTCTTTTATCACACCCTTTACTTCATCATTCCACCAATCACTCCTCTTTCCTCCTGCCCCCACCCTCCTATAACCACAAACTTCTGCCCCACATTCTAATACTGCATTTTTAAAACTATTCCAACCCTCTTCAACCCCCCCACTACTCATCTTTGCACTAGCCCACCTTTCTGCCAATAGTCGCTTATATCTCACCCGAACTTCCTCCTCCCTTAGTTTATACACTTTCACTTCCCTCTTACTTGTTGTTGCCACCTTCCTCTTTTCCCATCTACCTCTTACTCTAACTGTAGCTACAACTAAATAATGATCCGATATATCAGTTGCCCCTCTATAAACATGTACATCCTGGAGCCTACCCATCAACCTTTTATTATTTATTATCACTGTAGCGACGTTGGCGAAGAATGAGAGTAGTGGAGTCTCGTGGGCTGCCGGCATTCGCTACTACTATCGACACATTGACGTCTCAAAGAATTGCGCTTAAATCGACGATAGACGCACACAGGAGGCTTTTGTTGGCGCACAGGGACGAAGGAACAATGTTGCTTCTTTACCCCCTATGTGGTCCGTAAAATATGGTGCTAGGAGCCATTGTAAGGGTTAAAAAATAGTGTGCAGTTTGCAAAGTGATGGAACACCTAGTAAATAGACGTTTAGTGTGGTATTTAGAGACACACAACAGTCTCTCCACTCGTCAATATGGCTTTCGTAAGGGACGTTCTACCATAGACCCCTTACTACGCTTGGATACGCATGTTCGTAATGCCTTTGCGAATAACCACTCAGTTATTGCCATATTTTTTGACCTTGAGAAGGCATATGACACAACTTGGAGGTATAATATTTTAGCCCAAGCCCACTCCTTAGGCCTTCGAGGCAATCTTCCATCCTTCCTTAAGAACTTTTTAACTGACGGGCATTTCCGTGTTCGGGTTAATAATGTGCTCTCCCCGGACTTTATCCAAGCTGAAGGTGTCCCCCAGGGATGTGTTCTGAGCACAACACTTTTTCTCCTTGCTATTAATGATTTGGCCTCTAGTCTTCCATCAAATATTTGGTCATCACTCTGTTGATGACTTCGCTATTGCCTGTGCAGGTGCTGACTGTCACCTCATTACAGTTTCTCTCCAGCATGCAGTCGACCGTGTTTCCAATTGGGCCACCACACGTGGGTTTAAATTTTCCAGCACTAAAACCCACCAAATTACTTTCACTAGACGCTCTGTCATCTCCGATCATCCTTTGTACCTCTATGGCTTCCGTATCCCTGAACGTGATACAGTCAAGTTTCTGGGCCTCCTCTTTGACCATAGGTTATCCTGGAAACCTCACATTACCTCTCTGAAGGCAACTTGTCACAGCCGGCTGAACCTTCTTAAAACCCTTGCTCATCTTTCATGGGGAGCTGATCGTCGAACCCTCCTTCGCCTACATTCCACCCTTATTTTATCGAAACTTGATTATGATGACCAGATCTATTCAGCGGCATCTCCTGCTACTCTCTCTAGCCCTAACCCCATTCATCACCAAGGATTACGTTTATGCCTTGGTGCTTTTCGCTCTTCCCCTGTCGAGAGCCTCTATGCAGAAGCGAACGTTCCATCCTTATCCGATCGCCGTGATGCCCATTGCCTTCGCTACTATGTACGCTCTCATGATCTCCGCAATCCTTCCATTTATAGAATGGTCACTGATATTAGTAGACATTCTTTATTTGTTCGCCGCCCCTGTTTACTCCGTCCCTTCTCTCTTCGCCTTCATTAGCTCTTGTCTTCTCTTCAATTACCACCTTTCTATGTTCATGTAGCATCTCACTTTTCCCTACCCCCCTGGGAAGTTCCAGCTGTTCGAGTCTGTTCTTTCTCTCTCCCTTGCTCGAAAGCCCAACTGTCTACTGTCGCTTCCCGCTCTCTTTTTCTTGACCACTTTCACTCTCATTCTCATGCCATTGCTGTGTACACAGATGGCTCTAAGTCTTCTGACGGTGTAGGATTCGCAGCAGTGTTTCCGGACAGCGTCGTACGAGGGCTTTTACTATCTTCGGCTAGTATTTTTACTGCTGAATTGTATGCCATCCTTGCAGCACTTACCCGTATTGCATCTATGCCTGTGTCATCATTTGTGGTTGTCTCAGACTCCCTTAGTGTTTTACAGGCTATACAGAAATTTGATACACCTCACCCCTTAGTCCTCCATATCCAACTTTGGCTACGCCGCATCTTTACCAAGCATAAAGATATTGTTTTTTGTTGGGTCCCTGGTCATGTTGACGTACAGGGCAATGAACAGGCAGACACTGCTGCGCGGTCATCAGTACATGACCTACCAGTTTCTTATAGAGGTATTCCATTTACGGACTATTTTGCTGCAATATCTTCCCACCTTCACACCCGTTGGCAACATCGTTGGTCTGCTATGCTCGGCAACAAACTTCAATCTATTAAACCAAGTATAGGTTACTGGCCGTCTTCTTATCACCAGTGTCGAGGTTGGGAGACTACTCTTTCCCGTCTTCGCATTGGCCATACTCGTCTTACTCATGGATATCTCATGGAGAGGCGCCCTGCTCCTCTCTGTGAGAATTGCCAAGCTCCATTATCAGTCAACCACATTCTGTTGGACTGCCCACTTTATCAACGAGCACGCAGAATTTACCTCCGTCGTCGTCTTCGCTCCGCTGCTCTCTCTTTACCTTCCCTTCTCGCTGATGGACCCACCTTTCATCCGGACTCTCTCATTGACTTTTTGACAACAACTGACTGACTTCACAAATTCTGATACCTTCAGCCCTTTCTACTTCAATCTCTTGCTACCCTCTACCCCCGTACTATCCCCTGCCCTGCTGTTTTCTGTAACCTACTGATCATTGCTCCTCCCTTCTGCCATCCAATACCCTCGCTTCCTTCCCTACCCTGCAGCGCTGTATAGCCCTTGTGGCTTAGCACTTCTTTTTGATTATAATAATAATAATAAAAAATAGTGGTAGTGGGAAGTTGTGGGTGGTTGAGGCAGCGCGCTGAGACACCACGTGGGCCTACGGATAAGCGCCATAAGCCACGTGACACCCACACTAGGCACGAAAATATTCTAAGCCGGGCTGGCTTAAAAAAAAACCACAAAATACCACAACACCACAGGGATGGTAAAGCACTCAGAACAGCTAGAACTGGAAGCACAAAGCGATGAATAATGCTGTACCCACGTGGCTTGCTTGAGTACTGGTTAAGTCATCTGGGTTAGTTGCTGGCTGGCTTGGCTTAACCCTTCACACAGACTGACTTGAGAACTTGTAACGATGAGCACAGCAGGGGTGGAAAGCTGGCTAGCAGGCAAGGCTGGCACTTAAGACAGGCTGGATGGTGTAGGGCTTGACTCACCCCCCACCTCCCCCACAGACTGGCTTGGTGGCTTGGCTTAATTTGCAAACCCGGGTCAACCCCTCAGAAGTAATGCAAATAAGCAAATAAAACACTAAGACTGACCAGGAAATAGTGCAGAGAGGCTGGTGAGTGCTGGGCCAGAGTAGCAGGCTGTTTAGCTAGGCCGCCATGTGTCACACACACAGTGTCCTCGTCGGCTGAGAGAAGGGAAATCTCCGTACATCCGCGTAAATAACAATTTTATGCGCTCACCGCTGGCACCATTTGTTGGGAGGGTTCATGGAGATGTGATGGTTGGAGTTAAACACACTTGTTGGATGGTAACACTTACAATAGCAGAGTGTGAAGGAGGAGGCCCAGCCTGCCTATTGCTGCCTGGTAGGTCTAACAGGAACTGAGGGAGTTGCAGCGCTTCTCACGCACACATGCACATCACATGACATCACACATGCTAGTCGCTGAGCCTACTGACCAAGGAGCCTAAATATATACATGTATGATACGATCTACAATATACTACACAAGTATACATATAGGGGAATTCAGTAGCTATACTGACAGCATCATATTATTTGCATGACTTGTGTAGTATGTATTTTCTATCCACAGTATTTGGAACATTTTGGCTAAGAATTTCTAACATTTTGTATACATGTACTGTATAATTTTCTTTGTTGCAATTTTTTCCACAGATGACTTGAAATTTTTTTCAAAAAAAGATGTACTCGCCTATTTTTGGTTGCAAAAGTCAATTCTCAGATCGTGTCCCTCCTTAACTTGCTGCTCTAAAGATTTGCTCCCTCTAGCCTCATGGGCCCTATTGTACCTGCTTTTAGAACTATGTATGGAGCTGTATATGGGCAAGAGTTCACAGATTGTATATTTACAGAATGCTCATGTTCGAGTGCATGCGTGAAGTTTGCGGAGCTGGGGATAAGTGCTGCAACCAGAGGTTTCAAAAAAGACAATACCCTAGTATGTGTTCCTTTAGAACAGAAACTAGAGGATGGGGTCTTAAAACAACACAAGATATCAAAAAAGGTAAATATTATTATTGTCAGAATCAATTACAAATGTATACTTGTATGGTTACACACATTAATTAAAATTTAGATACTATAAAAAACAGTTTTAGATGTGTGACATGGGAACTCTAATGTGCTTTCCACAATAAATAGGTAAATTGGCATGTAAATTGGCATATATACCTTTATTTGATTTCTAAAATATAAGCATACTCGGCAATCTTTGTTGTTACACCCACTAGTTGGCTTGTTTTCCCAGTTACCATCCAGATGAAATTGAGTTATTTGGAATAATCATGAAGCTTCTACTATATATCAGGATGTTTCACAAAAGAATGAAAGTTTGCACTTTTGTCTCACTCTGCCATTGCATTCCACTCAGCAGTTCATACCAACGTTAAAAATTTTTTTGACACAAAACATTATCCATAGAGACAAAAATGGAAATGTTTGAGTGTAGTAGTACCAACACTCTTACATGAGTGGAAGCAAGAGTTGTGAATGTTGCAGTGAGGAGGCGGCTAGAGGCAGTAGAAATGTCTGATGGCAACGTGTGGTGTAAATATTATGCATAGAATTTGTAGTTTGGAGATGAGGAGGTGCGAGGTTACTGAAAAGTATTATCCAGAGGGCTGAGGAGGGGTTGAGGCGAGTTGGATATTTAACCCTTAAATGGTCCAAACGTATATATACGTTTTTTCAACATCTGAAAGTATGTAAAAAATGTAGATCTTCTTTTTTGTTTTACATTTGAAGAAAATTGTCAAAGTGGGAAGTCTGAATGTGCGTGGATGTTGTGCAGATGATAAGAAAGAGATGATTGTGGATGTTATGAATGAGAAGAAGCTGGATGTCCTGGCTTTAAGTGAAACAAAGCTGAAGGGGGTGGGAGAGTTTCAGTGGAGAGGAATAAATGGGATTAGGTCAGGGGTTTCAAATAGAGTTAGAGCTAAAGAAGGAGTAGCAATAATGTTGAAGGATAAGCTATGGCAGGAAAAGAGGGACTATAAATGTATTAATTCAAGGATTATGTGGAGTAAAATAAAGATTGGATGTGAAAAGTGGGTTATAATAAGCGTGTATGCACCTGGAGAAGAGAGAAGTGTAGAGGAGAGAGAGAGATTTTGGGAAATGTTGAGTGAATGCGTGGGGAGTTTTGAATCAAGTGTGAGAGTAATGGTGGTTGGGATTTTAATGCTAAAGTGGGTAAAAATGTTATGGAGGGAGTAGTAGGTAAATTTGGGGTGCCAGGGGTAAATGTAAATGGGGAGCCTTTAATTGAGCTATGTGTAGAAGAAATTTGGTAATAAGTAATACATATTTTATGAAAAAGAGGATAAAAAATATACAAGGTATGATGTAGCACGTAATGAAAGTAGTTTATTAGATTATGTATTGGTGGATAAAAGGTTGATGGGTAGGCTCCAGGATGTACATGTTTATAGAGGGGCAACTGATATATCGGATCATTATTTAGTTGTAGCTACAGTTAGAGTAAGAGGTAGATGGGAAAAGAGGAAGGTGGCAACAACAAGTAAGAGGGAGGTGAAAGTGTATAAACTAAGGGAGAGGAAGTTCGGGTGAGATACAAGCGACTATTGGCAGAAAGGTGGGCTAGTGCAAAGATGAGTAGTGGGGGGGGTTGAAGAGGGTTGGAATAGTTTTAAAAATGCAGTATTAGAATGTGGGGCAGAAGTTTGTGGTTATAGGAGGGTGGGAGCAGGAGGAAAGAGGAGTGATTGGTGGAATGATGAAGTAAAGGGTGTGATAAAAGAGAAAAAGGTAGCTTATGAGAGGTTTTTACAAAGCAGAAGTGTTATAAGAAGAGCAGAGTATATGGAGAGTAAAAGAAAGGTAAAGAGAGTGGTGAGAGTGCAAAAGGAGAGCAGATGATAGAGTGGGAGAGGCACTGTCAAGAAATTTTAATGAAAATAAGAAAAAATTTTGGAGTGAGTTAAACAAGTTAAGAAAGCCTAGGGAAAATATGGATTTGTCAGTTAAAAACAGAGTAGGGGAGTTAGTAGATGGGGAGATGGAGGTATTGGGTAGATGGCGAGAATATTTTGAGGAACTTTTAAATGTTAAGGAAGAAACAGAGGCAGTAATTTCATGCACTGGTCAGGGAGGTATACCATCTTTTAGGAGTGAAGAAGAGCAGAATGTAAGTGTGGGGGAGGTACGTGGGGCATTACGTAAAATGAAAGGGGGTAAAGCAGCTGGAACTGATGGGATCATGACAGAAATGTTAAAAGCAGGGGGGATATAGTGTTGGAGTGGTTGGTACTTTTGTTTAATAAATGTATGAAAGAGGGGAAGGTACCTAGCGATTGGCAGAGAGCATGTATAGTCCCTTTATATAAAGGGAAAGGGGACAAAAGAGACTGTAAAAATTATAGAGGAATAAGCTTACTGAGTATACCAGGAAAAGTGTACGGGAGGGTTATAATTGAAAGAATTAGAGGTAAGACAGAATGTAGGATTGCGGATGAGCAAGGAGGTTTTAGAGTGGGTAGGGGATGTGTAGATCAGGTGTTTACATTGAAGCATATATGTGAACAGTATTTAGATAAAGATAGGGAAGTTTTTATTGCATTTATGGATTTAGAAAAGGCATATGATAGAGTGGATAGAGGAGCAATGTGGCAGATGTTGCAAGTATATGGAATAGGTGGTAAGTTATTAAATGCTGTAAAGAGTTTTTATGAGGATAGTGAGGCTCAGGTTAGGGTGTGTAGAAGAGAGGGAGACTACTTCCCGGTAAAAGTAGGTCTTAGACAGGATGTGTAATGTCACCATGGTTGTTTAATATATTTATAGATGGGGTTGTAAAGGAAGTAAATGCTAGGGTGTTTGGGAGAGGGGTGGGATTAAATTAGGGGGAATCAAATTCAAAATGGGAATTGACACAGTTACTTTTTGCTGATGATACTGTGCTTATGGGAGATTCTAAAGAAAAATTGCAAAGGTTAGTGGATGAGTTTGGGAATGTGTGTAAAGGTAGAAAGTTGAAAGTGAACATAGAAAAGAGTAAGGTGATGAGGGTGTCAAATGATTTAGATAAAGAAAAATTGGATATCAAATTGGGGAGGAGGAGTATGGAAGAAGTGAATTTTTCAGATACTTGGGAGTTGACGTGTCGGCGGATGGATTTATGAAGGATGAGGTTAATCATAGAATTGATGAGGGAAAAAAGGTGAGTGGTGCGTTGAGGTATATGTGGAGTCAAAAAACGTTATCTATGGAGGCAAAGAAGGGAATGTATGAAAGTATAGTAGTACCAACACTCTTATATGGTGTGAAGCTTGGGTGGTAAATGCAGCAGCGAGGAGACGGTTGGAGGCAGCGGAGATGTCCTGTTTAAGGGCAATGTGTGGTGTAAATATTATGCAGAAAATTCGGAGTGTGGAAATTAGGAGAAGGTGTGGAGTTAATAAAAGTATTAGTCAGAGGGCAGAAGAGGGGTTGTTGAGGTGGTTTGGTCATTTAGAGAGAATGGATCACAGTAGAATGACATGGAAAGCATATAAATCTATAGGGGAAGGAAGGCGGGGTAGGGGTCGTCCTCGAAAGGGTTGGAGAGAGGGGGTAAAGGAGGTTTTGTGGGTAAGGGGCTTGGACTTCCAGCAAGCGTGCGTGAGCGTGTTAGATAGGAGTGAATGGAGACGAATGGTACTTGGGACCTGACGATCTGTTGGAGTGTGAGCAGGGTAATATTTAGTGAAGGGATTCAGGGAAACCGGTTATTTTCATATAGTCGGACTTGAGTCCTGGAAATGGGAAGTACAATGCCTGCACTTTAAAGGAGGGGTTTGGGATATTGGCAGTTTGGAGGGATATGTTGTGTATCTTTATATGTTTATGCTTCTAGACTGTTGTATTCTGAGCACCTCTGCAAAAACAGTGATAATGTGCGAGTGTGGTGAAAGTGTTGAATGATGATGAAAGTATTTTCTTTTTGGGGATTTTCTTTCTTTTTTGGGTCACCCTGCCTCGGTGGGAGACGGCCGACTTGTTGAAAAAAAAAAAAAAAAAAAAAATTTGAAAACATGTAAAAAACTTATATCTACATTTTTTTGTTATATTTGAAAATATGTAAAAAAAAGTAGATCTACTTTTGTAGCACTACGAATTTGAATGTCGATCTGTTTGGACCGTTTAAGGGTTAAGAGAGAATGGAGCAAAATAGGATAACTTGAAGGGTGTATAAATCTGTAGTGGAGGGAAGGTGGGGTAGGGGTCACCCTGGGAAAGGTTGGAGAGAGGGTGTGAAGGTTTTGTGTGCAAGGGGCTTGGACATCTAGCAGTTATGTGAGAGCATGTTAGGTAGGAGTGAGTGGAGGCAAATGGTTTTTGGAACTTGATGAGCTGTTGAAGTGTGAGCAAGGTAACATTTGTGAAGGGATTCATGGAAACTAGTTATCCTGAAGGAGGAGTGGGAATATTTGTAGTTTGGAGGGGAATCTGAACTGTAGTATCGAAGCACCTCTGGCAAGACTGATAGAGTGAATGATGGTGAAAGTGTTTCTTCTTTTTTGGGTCATCCTACCTTGATGGGAGACAGCCAGTGTGATAAAAAAAATGGCACATGATGTGTGTGTGTGTACCTGTTATTCTTGGATATCATAGGGTCCATGTTATAGAGAAATAATAAACACAGTTCTGGCCTTGTTGGGTATTAACCTTTGTATAATGCATAGTATTAATTATTTGCTTATTAAATTTGTTAAACATTCACCTCTTACTTTATATTTAATGATCACAGGAGAGTTTGTCATTGAATATGTCGGTGAGTTGATAGATGATGAAGAGTTTCGGCGCCGCATTCTGGAGATGCACGAAGTTAAAGAAGAAAATTATTATTTCCTCACAATTGATAAGGATATTATGATTGATGCTGGACCAAAGGGTAATTTAGCCAGGTAAGTTGTGATATTTTTAGCTCCACATGTACACTGTGTTACTGGTGTCCCTTGATCTCCATTCAATTAAGTCGTATAATCTCTGCCTCTTGTTTTGTATCCAGTCATTTAAAATTTTATTTTTATTTCAATTTTGGTGTTCCTGGTTGAAGCCACTCAGGTTTCCCCAATTTTAAATACTATACTATTAGTTGTTGTTATTCATAATCAGCAAGATTTAAGAAAGAAAAAAGTTTTATTTTTTTTTATTAACACATTGGCTGTTTCCCACCAAGATAGGGTGGCTCAAAAAAAAAAAAAAATACTTTCTCCATAATTCACTCCATCACTGTCTTCCCAGAGGTGCACTTGCACTACAGTTATAAAACTGTAACATTAACACCCCTCCTTCAGAGTGCAGGCACTCTACTTCCCACCTCCAGGAATCAAGTCTGGCCTGGAGGTTTCCCTGAATCCCTTCATAAATATTACCCTGCTCCCACTCCAACAGCATGTCAAGTCCTGAAAACTATTTGTCTCCATTTGCTCTTATCTAACACCCTCACGCATGCTTGCTGGAAGTCCAGTCCCCGTCGCACACAAAACCTCCTTTACCCCCTTCCCTTCAACCTCTTTTGTAGGCCGACCTCTACCCCGCCTTCTCTCCACTACAGATTTATACATTTTTGAAGTCATTCTATTTTGTTGCAACCTGTCTGCATATCCAAACCACCTCAACAATCCCTCCTCAGCCCTCTGGATAATAGTTTTGGTAATCCCGCACCTGCTCCTAATTTCCAAACTACGAATTCTCTGCATTATATTGACACCACACATTACCTTCAGACATGACATCTCCACTGTTTCCAGCCTCCTCCTTGTTGCAACATTTATCACCCATTCTTCACATCCATATGAGAATGTTGGTATATCTATACTCTCGTACATTCCCCCTCTTTGCTTCCATGGACAAAGTTCTTTGTCCCCACAGACTCCTCAGAGCACCACTTACCTTTTTTTCCTCGTCAGTTTTGTGATTCGCCTCATCTTTCATAGACCTATCTGCTGACACATCCACTCCTAAATATCTGAAAACATTCACCTCCTCCATACTCTCTACCTCCAACCCGATATCCAATCTTTTGTTACCTAATTTTTTTGTTATCCTCATCACCTTACTCTTTCCTATATTCACTTTTAATTTTCTTCTTTTACATAAACTCCCATACTCATCCACCAACCTCTGCAACTTCTCTTCAGAATCTCTCAAAAGCAGTGTCATCAGCAAAGAGCAGTTGTGACCACTCCCACTTTGTGTTAGATTTTTTATCTTTTAACCCCAAACCTCTTGCCAACACCCAGACATTCACTTCTCATAAGTTTTAGTAACAAGAATTTTCAAATTTTGTAACAAGAATTATTCTATACACAAATAACTCACAATTAGGGGACTGAAACTCGTGATGACATTTTGGTTTGACTTGGACCATTAACAGATCACACAAGTCATTCCATGTGACTTATTAATGGTTTCAGTCATACCAAAATGTTGTCCCTTAAGTGCAGATTATTTGTGTATTGTTTCAGCCATGGTATTGTGACTTCATTTTTTCTTCAAGAATGATCCCATGTTGCTTATTCCATTGATGTCATTCATGGTTACTCAGAAGTCATCGATTAATTAAAATAATCCTTTACACCTTTAGGTTTATGAATCATTCCTGCCAACCCAACTGTGAGACCCAGAAGTGGACAGTGGGTGGGGACACTCGAGTGGGCCTGTTTGCGATTGAGGATATTCCTAGTGGTTCTGAACTCACCTTCAATTATAATTTGCAGTGTGTTGGAACAGAAAAGAAAAAATGCTGCTGTGGTGCTTCAAATTGTAGTGGATTTATTGGTGTCAAAGTACAAAAGGTACGAATGTGGCAGAATTTTTTCTTATCTTTTTTGAATTTATAATTTTGATTATTTGGAAATCCTTATTCACTTTGCTAAATTCTAAGTAACTTGACAGATTTATAGGACTTCTAAAAATTTGTGGCTGTGTCACCTCATTTGAGAATAGGAGGTTGTAAAAAATTAGATTTGACTTATAAATAATTTTCCATGGCATTATCTTGTTTATTTTACAACTTCATTTGTATGAAAGTTTTATTTTATTTATATATTTTTTATTTTTTGTTAAATTAATGTAAAAAATCTGTTCAACAGACAGAAATGTCGGGTCCAAAGAGAGACAAATTGAGTAAGCAGAAACGAAAACGTCGGCGACGGGGAGCCAAAGTGTCTGAAGATGAATGTTTCCGATGTGGTGGCCCTGGCGATCTTATTCTTTGTGATGTTGTTGCTTGTCCCAAAGGTTACCATCTTGAATGTTTGGGACTTGATAAATTGCCTAAAGGTAAGATACTAAAATAAGGAAGGTTGGTATGATGTGCTAAAGCATTAAGTGTCTGTATTGTACTGTGATAAGTGTCATATACAGCCTCTCCTTGCTTAGTGATGTACTCGTTTACTGACAACTCGGAGTCATGACGGGCTCTCTGACCAGTATGCATAACTAAATAAT